CTAGGGCAGCTATCACATCCAATCCCCGTGGCCTCGCAGTTGCCTCCCAAGGACTTAGAGGACTCAGAAAGTGGACAGGCCCCACTCAGCACAAGTTTCCGCTGTGTGCAGAATAGCAGAAAAACAAAAGCAGAAACAAATAGGCAGCCCAGCCCGAGCTGAAGTGTTGTATAAGCTGTTTTTTAACAAGACGTTTATTGATTTGTAATAGTATTTTTATACCGTTAGTTTGCTTTATGGAGGTGTTTTTTTTATAGTTACAAGGCTCCTGGGACAGAGGGGAAAATACAGGCTAAAAATATCTGAATTTGCCACCCTAAAACTCTTAAACCTTTGCTCAGATCTGCTCCTGCATTCCTTCCTTTCATCATTTTTTTTGTCTCCTCAACTCATGTTTAACTCTGCCACCACGAGGACTAGAACCTTATGTAAAACAAAAGCTATGGTTCCCATGGCTGGATTCTGCTTCTCGTACCAATTTCGGCACTTGCGTTTTGCAGAAGGCCAAGCAATCCACACAGGCCTGTGGGCAAGCTATGAAATAAAATAAATAAATGAGGGGGTATATAATGGATAACAAGGAGAGGTTACCGTGATCACTTCTGGCCCTATCGAAATATATGATTGTGGCTGCCAGCATCAATGAATTTAAAGACAAGGTGGGGTCAGTTTGTGGCCTGTTAACATCAATATGCCATTAGAACCTCCATGTTCAGGTGCAACATATCTGTGAATATAATCTACTGTGGATAAACAGCAGGAAGTGAACTCTGCGAGTGCAGCTTTCTCTCGCTTGAAGTGCAGAGTGTTTGAGGACCGGGACATTCGCAGGGAAACCAAAATGCTTGTTTACAAAGCTATTGTACTACCAACCTTACTATATGCTTGTGAAACGTGGATCACTATAAACGCCATCTCCAGTTCCTCGAAAGATTCCTTCAACAGTGTTTCCAAAAATTTTTACACATCACTTGGGAAGACAGGCGAACTAATATCAGTGTAGTGGAAGAAGCAAAGATCACCAGTGTTGAAGCAATGATTCTTCAACATCAACTTCGTCGGACTGGTCATGTTGTGCGGTTGCCTGATTATCGTCTTTCAAAGCAGCTACTGTATTCTGAACTTAAAAATGGAAAGTAATGCTGATGGTCAACAAAAGAGGTTTAAGGACTTTCAAGGCAAATCTTTAAAAATGTAGTATAAACACTGACAACTGGGAAACACTGGCCTGCGAGCGCTCCAGTTGGAGAACAGCCTTTACCAAAGGTGTCATGGGCTTTGTAGAAGCTCGAACTCAGGACGCAAGGGAGAAACGTGCTAGGAGGAAGGCACGCTTGGCAAATCCACACCGTGATCAACTCCTGCCTGGAAACCAATGTCCCCACTGTGGAAGGACGTGTGGATCCAGAATTGGCCTCCACAGCCACTTGCGGACTCACTGTTAAAACCGTGGTTATGGAAGACAATCTTACTCGGCTACGAGTGATCGCCAAAGAAGAAGTCCATAGACTACCACTGGCAGAGGATAGGGGAAATTCTGTATTGGCGGGCTTTTCTGTGACAAAATTGGTGCTTTTAATTCGATCTCTTACGCTCATTGTGTGTCTTGGGGGCTTCAGCAGTGGGGCTGGCTGGCAGAGAGGCAGAAAATAAAGGCTATCGCAACCGCAGTAGCGTACATACACGAGGGACGGCAGAAATCTTCAAAGCTCCTCCGCAGCCCATAAGTTGGCTGAGCATCCCCCTGTGCGCTCTTAACGGAGAATTTGCAGGGGACCCACTGCGACCGGCACCTAGGGGAAACAGCAGAGGGTCCCCGGGTGGGGATTAGCTCCTTCTCCAGCTAGGCCTCTCTTCGCCGGCCACCCCCACCCCCAAATCCCGTTAGGTGATGTAATCCTCCCAAGCTTGAGCCGGAGTTAGGAGGATCGAAAGAGGAAATCTGGTGGATCAAGCAATCTGCTATGGAGAACGAGGCAGAAGCGGTGGCCGTGTGGGTGTGGGAATGTGTGCAAAGCTTTAATCATCTGCAAGGTCTAAAGCCCTCGTCTCTCTACCCACCCGGTTTCCACACACACACATTCGCCTGCCCCACAGGCACACACACGCACAGCCGCTCAACTGCGCCCAACTTTCCACTGAGACAGGACTGCTGCTAGTCACCTGGCAGAGAAGCACGTAGAAAGGGCACCACCTATCTGTAAGCCGTCCGCCCCCCCACCTTGTCAAGAAGGCTGAGTTTTGGCGCACATCGCCACAAGCGGAGCACACACTCACCTGCTGCAAACAGGTGGAGGAAATGGGGGAGAGAGTGGAGAATAGGCTCAGCCGGGTACAGTGGTACCTCGGGTTACATACGCTTCAGGTCACAGGCTCCACTAACCCAGAAATAGTACCTCGGGTTAAGAACTTTACCTCAGGATGAGAACAGAAATCGTGCGGCGGCAGCGGGAGGCCCCGTTAGCTAAAGTGGTACCTCAGGTTAAGAACAGATTCAGGTGAAGAACAAATTAAGTTCTTAACCCGAGGTACCACTGTACATAGGAAGCTGCTTTGTGCCACTCTTAAATCTCAGGTTCGCGGGTTTGAGCCCCACGTTGGGCAAGATTCCTGCATTGCAGGGGGTTGGTCTGGATGACCGTCAGGGTCCCTTCCAGCTCTATAATTCTTTGAGCCTACCATTCATCCAGCACACTTGCCACCCATTCATTTCCAGCCCAATTCCAGCCCCCCCAATACCTGAAAGACCACCTCCTTCCCTACCCCCACAGGGCAGTGGGGGCCCTGTTATTTCGCCATGCCCAGCAGCTCAGGGGTGGCATCCCAGGAGAGGCTATTCTCTGCAGCAGCCCCTAAGCTGTGGAACCCCCTCCCCACAGGACGCTGTGAAGATGCATCTCTATTCTGTATTTGCACCCTTGAGGTGTACATTTTTTGGATCCAGTGTCTGTCATTGTTAAGTTTTAAACTGTCTGCAATATTGTGTTTTGATTGTTCCAACCCACCCTGGGACCTTAGAGCGATGGACAGGCTCTTCAGGATTTTAGATAAGACATTCCCAGCCCTACCTGAAGATGCCATCAGGGACTGAAACCAGAAGCATTCTGCACTCAGAGCAGATGTCCTACTGCTGCGGGATGTATGGCCCTTTTACTGCATTCTGGGAGCATCTTCCGCAGCATCCCTGGAGGTGCACCAAAATGTGAAAGGGAAAATTCTATTCTGCCACGTATGATGTAGCAGAGATTCCTGCATTGCAGGGGGTTCGGCTAGATGACCCTCGGGGCCCCTTGCAATTCTACAACTCTGGTTCAAGTAGGGATGAAAAAGGCAGAGGGGTGGCTAAACGAAAGGAACTGCTGCAGAAAGCCTTTTAAAACTTCAGAGTGTTTCTTCCAGGCATAGAAACTCACCTCTGGTTTTTGTACTGCCGGAAGCGCAGCTCATTTTCAGAGGGATCTTGCATTCTCCTTTTCCCCCATCTAAGTAATTAGCTGTGGAACACTGGTGCCACCTATCAGCCAGGAAGGGAATTGCATTCCTAATAAATGCTTTTTAGGCCTTTATATCCCAGACCAGGGGTAGGCAACCTAAGGTCCATGGGCCACAAGCAGCCCACGGGGGTAGTTAAACCGGCCCCCGAGCTGCCCCCGAACTGAGCCACCCACTCAGCGAGTACCGCCTGCTGCACTAAACTGGTGCAGCGCGGCACAGGGACTCGCTTCCACGGTGCTGGAAATCGCGTCTGCGCAGATGCAGACACCGGAAATTGCGGGCACACGTGCAATCTGGCCCATGAAGGGATCTCTGCTGGAGTGAACTGGCCCAGGCGAGGTAAACCTTGCCGACCCCTGCCCCACAAATTCATAGAACTGTAGTTGAGGGTAATCTAGTCCAAAACAGTGTGGAGGAGCTTCAGATACCAAACTCGGACTTATGAAGCTCATGGGATAAATTTTGGATTAGTCTCTTTCAAGTCTAACTTGCCTCAGGGTTGATTTGAGAAAAAATGAGGAGCAGAGACGTCCAGGACTGTGCAATTCTTCAGAAAGGTAAAAAATGCAAATATCTAGCAAAGTTCTCCATGAGGCAGAAGGGAACCATTGCAAAACTACTTTTCATAACGTAAGGCTTCTGGGATAGTTTATCTTTCACAATACGTATCATCCCATTTCTGGAACTTGTTTTTAAACTCAGTTCCGAGAGAGGAGCAAAAAGACGGCCGGCCAAAATGGGGTCAGGCTAGATGCCCCCTGTAGTCCCTTCCCATGCTACATATGGGAGTTCTAGCCACTGACTTTTGCCTCCCATTTTTGAACTCTACTAAGGTCTCTCTTGTTGGAGCTTTACGTACCCAAACACCCAAAATGTGGACCACGGACAGCTGGTTAACGCAACTTGAAATGTGCAGTTTTATTGTATTTGCATGCATTGTGTAAGCTTAGGGGGAACTTGCTTCCCCTAAGATTTTGTGAGGCACTTCCAAAATCAATCCAAGCTAGCAAAGAACTTGGGTTCTCATCTTGGGGTTTCTTTTTGGGTGGATCCAGGTGTCCCCTGACTGCCTGCGGTCACTTCTTGGGCCTTGCCCAAGCTGTTAGGAGACCAGCAAGGCTTCTTGACAGTTCAAAGGCACCAGTGAAGCCCATCTGGGTACTGGGAGGAGTGGTGGCACCTCTGCCTTCTGTTCTCAGCCACCATCTGCTGCCTAACGGCTGTGCAGGCGGAAGACACGTGGCCCCAGGAGGGAGCAGTGTAGTCCCAGGAGGGGGGAAAAGATGTTTGACCCCCCGTTTCTGAAATTGCCCTTTCCTATTTTAGCACAAGAGGCTGGAATCACTGAGCTCTGTTGGTGTGCTGCTAGCAAGATCCTGGTGTGTGTATGTGTATGTGTGTGTGTGTGTGTGTGTGTTTTGCACAGGTGCATCGGCAGCTAAGAAGCACCCCGCACTCAACAGGTTCTGGAACTCGACTCCCCAACCCGACAAGAAAGACGCACAGCGGGTATAAAACTAACGCCATCTCTTTATTATGTTCTCTTTTCCTGTATTCATCAGAATAAAAAAAAAAGGATTTCCCCAAAATAAAATACAAACGAACGGGGAGGGAACTGGCCCCGGGAGAAGAGGGGAGCGGGAGGGCTGGGGATAAAAACCGCCCCACTTTCCGAGGAGGAAGGCCCCTCCTGCCTGCCGCAGCCATGACATCCGCCGAGCACGCCCCTCCCTCCTCGCAAGAGCTGCTGGAAAAGGGGGAGCCCAATCCCTGGCTGTCCCAGTCCTCTCCCAAAAAACCAGGGCTAGATTTGGGGTAGGGGGTGGGGGAAGGAAGTGCCGCCACCGCTCCCCCTCCCTCCCCGCAGAAGGTCAAAGTAAAGAAGTTGGAATAGGTCAGCGGCGCCCCCCCCTGTCCTGTACAGGCGTGCTGCGACTCCGGCTCCGACTATGGCGGGCCTTTGCTTCGCGCCGCTCTCGGTCCCGGCCACTCCGCTCACCCCCCCTGCTGGCCCCGCCTCCTGTGGCGTTGGGGCGCTCCCGTTCGCGCTCCCGGCTGTGCTCCCGCCTCTTCTCCCGCTCGGCTTGGCGGCTGCGCTCCCGCTGGCGGGCCTCCTCCGCCTCCTGCTCCTTGCGCCGGCGCTCTCGCTCCCGGGCCCTGGCCGCCCGCTCGGCCTGCTTCTGAACGTACTAAGGGGAAGACAACGAGCGAGAAAAGGTAGGTTGAAAATAGCCCCACGGACCAGGAGGGCAGAGCCCCCGTGTACCCGGGCAGAATCCATTTAATAATGTGGTTTATCGCCAAGCTTTCCTTCAGAAAAGGCCGAATGGCTCTTTACGACAGCTAGCAGAAGTTGGGCAAAAAAAACAAAGGATGCATAAAACATCTGCTTGGCCTGCAGAAATAAACATCTCTTCCCCTTTAGAAATAAGTTTCTAGTCCTCAGGGAAATAGAGAAGGTGGAAATGTATGCACCCTCCCGCTGTCCATTTGACCCAGCGTCCCAAAGGATCTGAGCGCGAGGGCAGATTTTGACCAACGTTCTGGATTCCTTGGCTTATTCACCCTTAATAATATACAAGGATAACCCGACAGGGGAAGCCAGCCCATCTCCCTGCCAGCCCAGACAGCCCCAAATGATATTACTGTCTTTCCCGAGCGCTCCTGAAGGACAGCGTCTCTTACCTGGGTGTCTGTCAAAGGAAGCCAGTAAATGCAGGGGGCTGCCTTGGTTTTGCGGAAAAGGTCGTCCAGCAGTTTAGCAGGGGGCTCTTCCTGGGCCTTTTCTGTTGGCAGAGAGAGAGGAAGAAGCAGAGACCTCAGAGGGGCAAATGCAGCCTCACACTTTTATTCTTACAGTTGTTGTTATTGATCCAATACTTTGCAAGCCAGAGCAGTCTCTTAAGGGAGGCTTCCCAGGCCTTCTTCCCTTGGCTTCCTAAAGAACTCAGGCCCAACCAGATGCTTTCAGCCACTCAAAATGGTGACTGCCGAAAGGCGAGGTGGAGATTTCAAAAATTCACGCGGCACTAACGGTCACACTCATGTGTCAGCCTGATAATGCCAGAGGGAAGGCTGAATCACAGCATCGTGGAGCTGGAAGGAAGAATTTTTACACACCCACCCACCCTGTGGGCCCATATAACTCACCCTTCTTCTCGGCTTTCTTCTCCTTAGACTTGGGGCGCTCCTTGCGGCGTCTCTCCCGGGATCTGGACCGAGAGCGGGGCCCCTCGCGCACCTTGTCCCGGTCCCACTCCCGCTCGGCCCTCGTCCTCTCCCGGCGCTCCATCTCTCTCTCCCTCTCGGCCCACTGCTCCCGGACTGCCGCCTCCCGCTCTCGTGCCTCCGAGCGCCGCGACATCTCGCGCTCCCCCCGCATGCCCAGGCCCACCCCAGGGAGAGCGAGAGCCTCGTCCGCCTTGGCTTCTGCGGGACGCTCGGCCAGCAGGCCCCGGTGGAAATCCAGCTGGGGAGGAGGAGGAGGAAGATCAGACACACATGGCGGCTTTCCTTAAAACGCCCAGCCCTCCGGCCATTCAAGAAGCATTTCCCAACTTATTCCATTGCATTTCACCTAGCCATTTTGTGTCAGAAAATTCGAGACAGGCCAGAGAAACTTATTTAGTCAGTGCACAGGAATTTGATCCATGGGATGGCCACAGATCTGGGTGGCTTTCAGAGAGAATGGAGACAAATTTGTGGAGGGTAAGGCCAGCAGCAGAGGATATTCTCCCACTGTCAGAGGCATTATACTGGGGAACGTAAACGGAAGGGCTGTTGCACTTAGGTTCCTATTGGGGCAGCTGCTTGGCCACCTTGAGAACAGGACAATGGACTATATGGGCCTATGGGCAGATCCAGCAACCAGGCTCTTCAGATGGGCCATGGAGGCTCCTTGTGAGCCAAAGGGCAAGATACAATGGAAACAGAAAAATAAACTGCCCCTACAGAGCAGTCTTGCTCTGAGAAATGCGCCCACCAGGCCAGGCAATGTCCGCCTAGCAAATTACAGGCCTTTACCCTCAATTTCCACTCCACGTCAACAGGCCTATTATCCCTGGGCAGACTTAAACCTCCATACATTGGCCTCATCCTCTAAAACCTCCACTGGCCGCCACCACAACCTTCAACATCAATGAGTTTCACAGGAAAATGTCTTGAAGCAAGACATTCATTTCTGTTTCGTCCAGTCTGAATTGTCCACCAGGTTTTTTAGGAGTTCTGTTTTGGTTCAGTTTTCTCTCCACGAGAAGCCCCGACCTCTTAAGATGCTAAACTCCTCCTGCGTTCTACTTTTAGGAGCCTTCGCCTTTCCAGACCCTGCTGGATCACAAGTCCAAACAGTGCTGACCACTGGGCAATGAAGCCAGACATCCGTCCGCCCCGCTTCAAAAAGGATAATGCAAAATTGGAAAAGATTTGGAGAAGGGCAAGCAAAACAATCGAGGGGATGAAGAAAGTTCACAGCATTTAGGGGTTTGGGGTTTAAAGAAAAGGTGAGGACGAAGCAATAGGATAGAAGATGATAAAATGATGTGTGGCGTAGAGAAAGAGGATAGAGAAAAGTTTCCCCCTTTCTCTCCTAACACTAGAAGTCATGGGCTTCCAATGAAGTTGAAGGGTTCGGAAGAAAGTACTTCTTCCTGAACTGAACTGTGGCGCTCGCATCCCCAGGAGACAGTGATGGGCACCAACTTGGATGGGCTTCAAAAGAGAATGGGTCACATTCACGGGGGAAAAGGCTATCAGTGGCTACTTGCCGTGATGGCTCTGTCCTGCCCCCTGCAGTTGGAGGTAGCAAGGCTTGTGAATACCAGTTGCTGGAAACCACAGGAGGTGGAGGGCGCTGCCGTGCTCAGGTCCTGCTCCTGAGCTTCCCAGAGGGCATCTGGTCAGCCAAAGCAAGACCAGGTTGCTGACTCGAAAGCTGCTGGCCTGATCCAGCAACGCTCTTGTCTGGAAGGCCCCAAGTGCCCCGGCCCAGCACTGTACCTCTCAGAAGGGGAGGTAAAACTGAAAGACTTTTTTTAAAAAATGGGGCTCCTTCTCCCCATCTTCCCAGTTTACTGCATACAGCCTCTCCTGAGACATCGAGGGGACGGAGAGCAACAAATCCCACCCTCTATTCTGCCTTATCTCTCACAGTTCATACCTCATCTTGCTCTGCAAAGTCTGCTGATAAGAATTTGGGGTTTGATTGTGGCCACTTGACGCCATGGAGGGCGTTGCGAGTTGCTACTGCTTCTTCCACTGTTGAATACTGAAAAGAAAAAGGGAGGTGAAAAGGTAGGAAGATTTTTTTTTATTTTTTTTAAAGTCCGAGTTTGGTTTCCTTTCATGCTTTAGAGCAGGGGATTGTCACTAAGTGAGCACAAGTCCAATAAAATGTTCAGTCGACGAGGTTTGCAGGTGGCTTTTGCATTACACTCCAGTCTTGCATATGGCTCTCTCTCAAATTTATGTTTTAGTTCTTCAAAAAGCAAGTCTTTCACCTTCAAGGCTGCTACTACCCTTTCCTGGAGAAAAGAGTGAACAGGATTTCCCTGATGGGAAAAGGTGCTCTAATCCTGGCTTTATTCAGTGTACAAAACTGATACACCACTTGCTTGCTTGATGAAGTTATCAGTGAGAAAAATTAACAATTAAAGAGATACAAAATAACAAGGAACTAAACTTGGTTGAAAACAGTCCGGGGGGCAGAACCTCTAGGAGCAGGAGTGGGGAAATGCAGGCCTGGGGTCCAAATGCGGCCCTCCATAATATGCCTGGCCCTCAGAACTCTTCCCAAGCCACGCCCCACGGCTGGCCTCGCTTCGCCCCCCAAGAGTGCTCTGCCTGGCTGGAATGTGTCGCAAATGCCTCCTTCTTGCCTGGATGGAAGACAAGAGAGGGGCCTGCAAGTGCGTGGAGAGGCAAGCCCACTGTAAGGTAAAGGGACCCCTGACCATTAGGTCCAGTCGTGGCCGACTCATCTCGCTTTATTGGCCAAGGGAGCCGGCGTACAGCTTCCGGGTCATGGCCAGCATAACTAAGCCGCTTCTGGCGAACCAGAGCAGCACACGGAAACGCCGTTTACCTTCCCGCCAGAGCGGTACCTATTTATCTACTTGCACTGGTGTGTTTTTAACTGCTAGGTTGGCAGGAGCAGGGACCGAGCAACAGGAGCTCACCCCGTCACGGGGATTCGAACAGCCAACCTTCTGATCGGCAAGTCCTAGGCTCTGTGGTTTAACCCACAGCGCCACCCGTGTCCCTAAGCCCACTGTATAAAGGAGAAAGATGACCTTGGTTGCCCTGCCCACCTTTCCCCTGGAAGGCTCCCCAGAAGGGAATGTGGCCCTTGGCTCTGTCGCTAACGTTTCCGGGCCATCCGCCAATCCGTTGCAGGGCACTCGCGTTCGAAACAAGGATTTCCTCCTCCGAGCTGGGGGAGACAGGGCGGAAAACTCACCGTGACGTAGCAGTGGGACTTGATCTTGTCGATCCAGAAGGCTTCCTCCACGAGGGTGCCTGTCCGGCCCAGCAGCTCCTTCAGCTGCCCGAGAGTGAAGGGTCTCACCTGCGCAAAAGGACGCCACTGGGGTGTTAAGGCAGGTCTGGCTTCTTATCCGTGTCTGCTGGAGGGCCGCCCTCCCCTCCCCACCCTTGCCACGTACTCACCAGGTTGCAAATGTGGACGATGCTGCTGACCTTGCCGCGGGGCGGAGAGGGGACCTGGGCTGTGCGGACAGGGTCGTCGATGGTGATGGAGACGCCGGAGCGCTGCTGGCTGATGGAGCGCCGCGTCAGAGTGTCGCTCAGCGTAACTAAGGGGCGGGACAAAGGGAAGTTGGGGCTCAAGAAGCAGGAACTCAACTTTCTGGCCCCTGCTTGCCATTCCACCCCTGCAGCCTCCCCCTGTCCCTCGCCCCGCACCTTTCTTCACTTCGTGCTCCACGGGTGGTGGCAGCACGACTGCCTCTACGGCGACGGCGGGAGGCGCCTCGGGCGGCTCTTCCTCGTGCGCCTTCTCCTCCTCTTCCTCCTCCTCTCCTTGGCCGTTCTCCTGGCCTTCAGCCGGCACCACCTGGGGGAGAGAGAAAAAACAAGTTGTGTTTTTCAGGAGCGAGAGACAAGAGAGGGCTTCCACCAGAAGCAGCAGCGGCGCCTGCAATGTGCCCAACGGCGTTGCCAGAAAAACATGCGGCCGGGCTTAGCGAGGGCAATGGGCCTAGAGAGCGACTTGGCTCAGCTTCATCTCATATGGAAACACCTCGGACGAGACTCTAAGGCTGCCTACACCTCACGGCTCGTTCTCAACTGACGGAAATGGATCTATCGAAAGAGAGACTCTGTTGGTTATCTCTGTATACCTCTCTTTGGTTTAGCTTTTCCCAGGTAGTGCTTACTTGCTTATACTATGAAAAATATGAATTACATAATTTAAAAAAGCACTGACGTTAAGCACAAAAAAGAACAAACGGAAGAAAGAAAGAAAAACCCGGTTGTCTTAATAAATACAGTGGTACCTCGGGTTAAGAACTTAATTCATTCTGGAGGTCTGTTCTTAACGTGAAACTGTTCTTAACCTGAGGTACCACTTTAGCTAACGGGGCCTCCTGCTGCTGCCGCTCCACGATTTCTGTTCTCATCCTGAAGCAAAGTTCTTAACCCAAGGGACTATTTCTGCGTTAGCGGAGTCTGAAACCTGAAACGTCTGTAACCTGAGGTACCACTGTATGCATTTTCGAGGGGACATTGTTCTACCCCTTGTGCTAACTTAGGCAGGCAGCTCAGCTGCTACCTTCAGCAGGCAAGACAATGCAAAGGTTGCCTGGCCTACGGTGGCCTGGAGGGGGAGGCCCTAGAGGTTTCCCTTGCAGTTCCACCCAGAAGATGCTCCAGCCCACATTCCTGCAGCTGCTTCTGAGCCAAAACGCCCACCCAGAGCCCACTGGTGATGGACAAACCTGCGTGACGGTGCGGCAGATCTTGAGGGCTTTCTCGTGGGGGGGCTCCTCCGGGTGCCGCTCGGCCTCATCTTCGGAGATGCGCGAGTCGTCGGCGTGCAGGTCCACCACTGCCTCCTGCCCTCCCGTCGGGGGCTTGATCTCAGGGATCAGGCTCTGTTGGGGGGGGGGAACCAAGGGAGAGGGGTGCGTCAGGCCAGGATTAAAGGAGCTGCGCCGAGCCTAAAATGAACCGCCGTGAGCCCAGGGTACCTTGAGGGACTCTGTGGTGATGCTGATGGAAGGTTTCTTCTGCGTGGCGGCTGTACTGGCCCCCCAGCGCCGTTTCCGGCCTCCCGGCTGGCCTCCTTCTGTGTCACTGTTTGTCGCTGCCGCTGTGCCCTTTGCCACCGATGACGCTGAAATCAAGAGGGCAGACCCAACGCTAAGACCCCTCCCCTCGCAGGGACGCAGCCTGCCCTGTTTTTCAGTGAAATGGTACCTCGGAGGCAGAGAGGGTACGTCCCTTCCCTGCCGCCCTCAGGTCCATCTCTCAAGGGGTTCATCTCTCGAGACAGCTACAAGGGCTAATGCGTGGTCTCAAATGCTTCTGTAAATCCAGGCGGCTTGGGCAGGAACGCACTCTGCACATGCTCGGAGTTAGGGAAGATATGGCCAGCTCCCCTCCCTTCATTCCAAAGTCCGGCCTAAGCCACGCAGTGATGACAGGGGAGGGGAAGGATAAGGAGCTTTGTAAATGTTTAAAGCCCTGTAAAATTTACTTTAATAAGAGTGACCAGCCAACCGATCCTTAATATCGCACTAAAAAGAGAAAGAGATCTGCTTTCTTGAGTTCCATGGGAGGCAGACTTCCCCAAGAACCGCTCATACTCAGCCCAATTTGTGGCCATCTACCATGAGGGCTAGAAGCTTGGGTTTTCTCTTTTGAAAGTGGGAGAAAAATAGGCCAGGGGGGAGAAAGACACGCCGACACGTTTCTTCCTAAACAGCATGGGAAAATTCCCTCTGACCTCACTAAGACCAAGAACCTGGGTAAAGGCCGACCTGCTGTGCCTGAATTAGGCCTCTCCAGATTTTCTGGCTAAACCCATCCACTCTGACCCCAGAAAAGGCAGCAAAGGCTGCTCATTGCTGCTGGTTTCCCTTCCCCTCAGAACTGCATTGGAGTGGCAGCAGGGGGAGATCCCAGGATAACTCCCACCCTTCTCCAACATGTCCGGATGCCCCGTGTGGTCGCTGGACCAGGGCTCCTTTACTTACAGACAACAGATATCTTCCTCTTGAAGGCCTTGGGCTGCGTTGAACCCTGCAGAGAAAAAGGGAAGGGGGGAATGGAAAGAGAGAGAGAGAGAGAGAAAAGGGAGGAAGGGGAAGGAGAGAGAAAGAGAGAGAGAGAGAAAGCCCCGCATAGAGGGGGTAGTCAGGTCAGCGTCAGGGGTTTGGAAAGTGGCCGCCACACCTGGGGGAGGGGGGGGGGAGAGACGAGGGCATAAGTAATGAAACAGGGGCCCAGATGAGGAGTTGGGGAGCTGGGCAAGGGTCCTCTGCTGATTCAGGAATAAAGTTGAGACGGCAGAACCTCTACACCTCACTCTGCCCCCCTTGGTGGCTGTATGGCAAGTGCAGCCTGTCCGTGGGAAACATCCTGTCCCTGCCAAAGGGATGCAGATTACGAACCAGGAGCTCTTTTGCCTCTCAGAAGTTTATTTGGACTCAAAACGTGTTATTTGGACTCAACACGTTTTGAGTCCTCACGAGCATAAGAGGACCAACACAACGCTCCTACATGAGCCTACTCAGACTCTCACAATTGACACTGGAGGCCCCGTTCTCTGTCCTAGAATCACAGAGGGAACCCTGAGGGTCATCCAGTCCAACCCCCTGCAATGCCGGAAGCTCAGCTAATGTAAGTTAAGTCTCGATGGGTGGGTACGAGAGACAGGACTTCTTGGTGATAGCACCATAACTTCAGCTTTCTCGCTTTGTTCTGAAGATGCAACGTGACTTTTATAAATTTGGTCTGGTCTGCTATTTTTAAATCTTAGAAATGTAAGACTGGCGTTATTTTACTGCTGCTTTTTTGTTGTTTTAACGTAGGGGGTTGGCTATCTGGCTATCTATATGATTTTTCCCTGACATTATGTAAGTTTTAATTGAAAAACAGGTAGATAATAATAAATAACTGTAGCATTGAGACAACATACACTCTAATCCAAGGGCTAAGGATTCTATTCCAGTGGTACCTCGGGTTACGTACTTAATCCATTCCAGAGCTCCATTCTTACACCAAAGCTTTCTTGAACGGAGGTGCACACTTTCCCTAATGAGGCCTCCCACCGCTGTGTTCGGCTTCCGTGGCAAAGTGTGCTAACCGGAACACCTACTTCCGGTTTTGCGGAGGTCGTTGTCCGCAGCGTTCGTTAACAGGATTGTTCTTAAACCGAGGTACCACTGTACTAGAACACAGGTACAAAGAATCCCTAACTCTTAGGACAAATCTGGATGGGATATTATTCTAATTACTTTAATTTTGAATGGTTCAGATAGGGGAAGCTGCTTTTGCATCAATACACGATAGTTACTGAACAAGGCTTGGCAACCTTTATTATTTTGCTTTTAAACCATGCCCCTTCTGGTGAGAAAATGTGCAAGCTCACAAGTTAACACAAAACTCTTCAGCTTTCCATCCTGCCCAGTGAAAGGCCTACTGTACCTGAGACCTTGCCAATTTTTCACACACGCAGAATACTACAACCCAAAGGGCTGTTAACTCTTTTCTAGGCTACAGTGAGAATTTAAGGCAGGCTTGTGATTAGCTGCTCAACGCCTTGCAGAGAAATGGATGGCTCTTCTCTCCTTTTCTTAAGCCAGTTGTGCCACATTAATGGGCAATGCAGGTAATATATGCACAAGCAGATCCTAAAAAGGATCAACTTCAATGGGCATTATTTCTGCAAGGCGAACTGGGCAGCCCAAGTTAAGTCCAGGATAAGAGAGGCTTCCACTGCTGCTGCTGCTTTGGAGCAAAGGACAAAGAACATTCCAGGTGTCGGCAATGAATTTTAGCCGCCACAGTACCTACAATGCTTGGAGTCCTCAGAGAGTCCATTTGGCTTAGGCACAGCAGTGACACCAAGGTTGTTGGACGCAATGTGTATTTAGGTTCTCAGATGCAACAGGCAATTATTCAGAGACTGACCATCTGCCCAGAACATGTAACTACGTCTCAACACTTTAGTTGGGATTCCTGTATTGCAGGGGGTTGGACTAGATGGCCCCTGGGGGTCCCTTCCAACTCTTATGGTTCTGCATTGTTTCTCACACAGATTCTCTTTGTTAAAGAAGAGGCCTTTCCAAAGTTCCACCGCTTGGCTTTCTAGGGGTTGGGGTGGGCAAATGGCCTTCCTGTCTCTGGTCAACAGCACTGAGCTGGGAAGAGGAGGATTCTCATCCTCTCCCACAATTCTGCTCCCCTCTCAGGCCTGCATTGTATGCAAGGGAGTCTGGAAGCCACCAAATGCCTCCCTCGGCTTCCCTGCAGCTCAGCAGCCGAGCGCCCAGGTGACAGCAAGGCCAGGACTGGCCCTCCCACTTAACCACAGCCACTGGCACAGGAAGGAACCGCATCATTCGTGTGCCCTCTATGAGAGAAGAGCTTCACATCTCATGGGGGTGACCTGGGACCAAGCCGCAGGGAACCTTTGTGGAAGCTCCCACGTGGCTTTAGCCCCATGTTGATTAATTGGGCTTCAGCAGGGATAAAGGAGGCGCTGATGCCAATTAAGGAATATCGTTAAATGCTGTTCCCGAGAGGCTGGTGCAGAGGCAGCGATAGGGGAACCTGGGAGCTTCCAGATGTCGAGAGATTCGAGCTCCCATCAGCCTCAGCCATCCCATGGCCAATAGCCAGGGCTGATGGGAGTTGTAGTCCAGCGACACCAGAAGACCCTCAAGCTCTTTATCCCAGGTGAGCAGAAACTGCCAGCTTGCTAGCATCCCCTTTCTACGTCCACTTTATTCCTCAAACAGCAGATTCCCAAGGAAATGGAGGGAGCAGGTGGTTGGGAGTCAATACCACCCTGTTGATAGCGTACCCCACAGTCTGAGCAAGGATGGGGGCTGGACCAAACCAGGTTGATGCAGGAACTAGCCTCAGTTTCCCAGAGATCCCCTGCTCCCTTATCGTTAAAAAAATAAATAGATGCAGGGGAGGGAGCCCTCCATTTAAACTGAAACATGACCCACCCGCCTACCCCGGGGGAAAGGTGCAAGTGATACTTTTTTTTTTCCTTTAAAAATTAATTAAACAAAAAAATTAAACCAAACAATAAAATCAACGAAATTAGGACAAGTGCTCCAGGTACCCTCTCACACCTGGGGCAGGGTCTTCTGTTCAGCCAATCGCACCTCAGTGTGTGCGCTGTATCTAGGCAACGGCTGGTCCAATCGGAACGAGCCCTCCCTGGCCTGAAAGGTGCGTGCTTGGTTGGGTTGGGTGACAAGAGAGGTGGTGGTTGGTTGGTGGTAGGTAGGAACCTAGCGCTTGATTGGTAGGTGGTCGGAGCCAAGTGTCCCAGAGGAGAGAGGGCGAGACAGAAGCGCCTCCCCCACTGGCAAGGTGCGGTGGGGGGGAGGGTTAAGGCATCAGTTCTTGGCAGGCAGAGACTGGGCCAATGGAGAGCTGAGCACCACCGGCGGTGCATGGCAGCAAGAGTCCCGTGACGGGCGAGGGGCTCTGCGGCACCGGGCGGAAAGCGTCAGCATGTGCAACGGAGAACGGAATTCGTGACGGGGCCACCGTCCAGACCACGTGCGGAAAGAGGACGGCTGACATCGACAGTCCTTTTCCGGAAGAGGCGCCCATGTGGCAGGCAGCAGGGCGACTCGACGGCAGCAAATGCCAAGTCCTTGATGGGGAAGACCTCCAGAGAACCCTACGTAAACCAAGTCCTCTTAGGCAACTCTTGGCAACTCCAGAGAACTCTGTGGAGGTGGAAGTCCTTGAGGCATGGCGGAGAAAACGCGGTCTTGCGCGAGGAAAAACCCGTGCCGAGCAACGAGAGCTGTGGAAACTGGTTAGCTCTGCACACCAGCGGGATTGGAAGGGGAGGCCACCTTCAAATTTCGGGGAAAGCCTCTCAAGATGCTGAGTCCCAGATTCAACAGAGGAGCTGCCGGACTGCTGCAGCTTCTCAGGAGCTGAGTATCATCGGGTCGGGGCCTTCCCACAGATGGCCAAGTGTGACGGAGAACTTGCTGGGAGTCTCTGAAAGCGGACTTTTGCTCCCGAGGTGATGAAGGAAGCTCTCTCGAGTTGTCTCCTCTCAAGTGGAGGCCCCTGAAACTCAGGATAACCATTTCGTCGGCAGTGAAGACGTCAAAAGAACGTCTGGTTTACAGAGGCAGACAATTCTACCGCAGAATAAACAGAGTCCTTAAAGGCAACCTCATACGAAGCAGAAGCACCTTGAGCGGTGGAAGGAGGCGTAGACATTTTCAATGGGCGGCAAAAGACACCAAACAGCACCAGGCAGGCAACATCAGACTGAGTGCCCAGCAAAGTCCTGAAATTCCTGGAACCTTTTTGCTGAGAGTGTCAACCAGGCAGGATTCCAACAGCAGCGCTCTTTAAGATTTTGGAGATTGACTATTTATCAGCCGAAGGCAGAATGGGTCCCAAGGACCAGATGGCACTCTCTTTGACGGACAGGAGAAGAGGCCCACGGAATCAGGAAGAGCCACAGCGCATGTGGGGCTCCCAGACGAGAAGCTCTGTGGTTACGGAGCCAGAGGGCTTTCCACAAAGTGGAGAGCGGTGGCGGAAACGGTCCCAGGAGAGGCCTAGTATGTTGTGGCCCCTCCAAATCTCTCATCCACCTCCTCGGGTACCTGTCTGTGCGGCCTGCTCAAGTACGTCTGTGCTCTCTCTCTCCGGTTCTCTCTCTCTCACTCTCTCTTTCGCACTCCCGGTGGATTGGAGCCTCTTTAAAACGGGGATCAGAACAAACGAGTCCAGAGGAGAATGTCAACGGGGTTGTGGGGGGAAACTCTCTTTAGGGTGAGGGGGAAGCAAGGCCTGTCCCCACCCTCCCCTCTTCTCAGCAGCACAGAAAGCAGTCTCGCATGTGTGTGCTCGCGTTACGTGCGTGTGCGTGGGTGTGTCCTCAAAACAGCCCTGCCTCACCCCAGCCGAGAGCCCCCCCACCCCACCCCACCCCGCTTTGGAACAGAGGAGATGGAAGAAGCCAGGTTCATGCCCCGGCTCAGGGGTGGGAAGAGTCAAATTTGGGAAATGCAGGGCAGGGAGGAACGTGGGCAAAACGAACCTTTCGATAACATGACATTCAGCAAACACATCAATAGTTAACCCTCCCAAAATCCAAGTTTGGCTGCTAGCTGACAGTAGGAGGCCCAGTTTATGGGGAGAAAGAGTGTGTGTCACTATCTAGTAAATCCATGCAGACGGCATTTTCCATTAAACATTTACACCACATTTAAGGCAGGGTGAAGTGTGGTGCATCATGCTCAGGATTCAGAACTCTTTGCCCCCGGAAAACCCAAATTCTGCAGCAAGGAAAGCGGAACTATTGAGTCCCATATAAATTATGCAAACTGGGCATCTCTGCATAATTTCCTCTTGTTTTGCATAATTTATTCCACACCACTTTTACACAATTTATTCTGGTTTTCCTAGCTGTGCATAGGGAGGTCAAGGAGTTCTGCAGAGCGCTGGAGACATCTCTCCCTTCCCCCAAAGCGCTGGACACCTTCCTCAAGAGACATTCATGCAACTCTTATTACATAAGCATCCAAGCTAGAAACGTGCTTCTCGGTTGATTTAAAGAATAATAATTTAAACCCAAAAGCTAACAAGTGTTCCCAGAAGTTCCCAGCACCCTGGCACTTCAGGACACAAGGGATGAGAGGAGGCTCTGGATTGGGGAAGGGATTAAATTAGAAGCACCTGCCCACCAAGGTTATGGGGTGGAACTGAGAGCTGAACAAACACCCAGCCCTTATTGCAGGAAGTCTGAGCCCCACTAACCCTGTGGTGGTAGCTGGGTACATAGCTGACCTCTCTAAGGAATGTCTCCCCCCAAAAGTCCCCCCTAGGCATCTTTCCACAGGACCTCAGGACTGCCTGCCCCATTGCACCCTGGGGTCCCTTGCCCGTCTGCCGAGCGGAGCCCCAACACACTACCTCTTTCTTCTCCTCGTCTTCGGGGCCCGGGTCGGGTCCGGGGGGCTCCGCGGAGGGGGGTTCGTCAGGGCCAGGCTCAGGGGCCTCGCTCTCTGGTCGGGGCTCGGACGGCTCCATGGGCACCTCTTGCTTCTCCTCACTGTGCAGAGAGAGGGAGAAGTAGTCACTTATGGTGTGGTTGAGGGTGGGGGGAAATGACTTCCAGGTACAAAGAACACAGCCATCTCTTCTCGAGAGACAGAAAGCACCTTGGGGAAAAGGCTGAGGCCCAGGAAAATACTGCATGTTACAGCCCTATGGAACCTTCCCCCACAATATTCAAGTGGAACCTTCTCCTTGGGGGTCTCTTTCCCTCTAGCTACCATTAGCCCCCATTTCTTCCATCCTGGCCACCCCCCCAAAAAACCACCTTTGTGAACAAATATGCTCCAACCAGCCTAGCTTCTCCCCCACTCAGTAACTTTCCTAGAGGTCATTTGGGCCTTCAAGGAACCTCCCTCCACTGCCCCCCCAGGCTTAATCTCAGCCCCAGAACCTGTGAATCTGCCTGAGCACATGAGGAGTACCTTCCTGATATCCAATGCACAAAGCACAGCCACCCCTCCCCCCCACATCTGGTGTTAGGGGTCAGAAGATAGTCCCTGAGCCCCAGCCCCTTCCCTTTCAGAAATCAACCACAGATGCCTAAAATAACAAACACTTTCCAAAATTATGAGCCCTCCCTTCTAAAGCTCTTATAGACACACTTCACCCCTAGAATGTCACCAAGGCTGCTTCTTCCGTCTTCCAGGCCACAGAATCCCACAACCAAATCTCCCCCTCCCCCAAATTGCTCTCATGCAAAGCCTCCCCCAAAGTATCACAACATCCCCATGGGTCCTCAGAGGCCTGTCCTTAATAAGAGACCAGGGAACCGCCTGCCCCACTGAGGCCTGTGGGGAGGAAGGGGAGGGGGGAGAATGGACCAGGGAGTGACGGACAGACAGAGAGGGAAAGGAGATGGGAAATAGGAAGTCTGGGGAAGAAAGACACGTGCAATTTGAAGGGGATGGAGGGAAAGAGCCAGTGTGCAGTTGGAAGGCAAACAGGAGGAGGAAAGAAATGGAAGAAAGAGGAGGGCAGGCAGGAGAATTATTTGCAGAAACAGCAAAGGGAGTGGTGGGGAGGTGTTGATGAGACCAGCTGGAAGGGAGTAGAGGCAGAGTCCAGGGAAAGGAGAAAACGAGAGGAGAGAGAGAGATGCAGCAAAATGAGGGCCCTTCAGAAAGGGGAGAAGCAAGGGATTGCTGGAGGAGGAGAGTGACCCTGTCAAATAAAGGGAAGAATTGGGGAAAGGGTGGGGGCATGACAAAGCAGAGGGACGGAGGAAGGAGGGGGGCTGAAGCCAAGAAGGGAATGGAAGAGAAAATGGATGGCAGAGGGGCCCGGAGGAGGAGGAGGAGGAGAGGGGGAAGGGAGCAGCGAGGCAGAGAAAGGAAGAGGGGGAGGGGCAGGAGGCGAGTGAATGAATGGGGGGAGAATGAATGGAGGGGAGAAAAAGGGATTTGCGCGCGGGGTGGGGTGGGGGCAGCGAGCTTGGAGCAGGATGCGGCCGGCGAAGGGAGAGAGGAGAGGGCTCGGGTGGGAGATGGGGACAGATCTGGGAGCGGGGAGGGAAGGAGAGGCGAGCGAGATGGGAATGGCGCAGGGCGAGCAAGGCGCGCGGGGCGGGGGAAGGAGGCGAGGAAAGGGAAAGGGAGAGCGGGGCGCCCCGGCCGGGAAGGACGCAGCAGCAGGCGGCGGAGCCCGGGCGGGACTGCGGGGAGCGGGCGGCGGGCGAAGGCCGGCCAGAGGAGGGGACGGGCGAATGAATGAATGAATGAATGGGTGGATGGGAAGGATGGATGGATGGAGGCAGCGGCCGCGCTGCGCCAGGCCGGGCGCCCCGTCTCACCCTCCCTTGCTCTCGGAGAGCAGCATGGCCCGGCCGGCGCTTCCTCCGCTCCGCCTCTAGTCCAGCAGGCGCCGCAGCGACGCGGGGCCGGGCGGGGGCGGCGGCAGGAGCGGCGCAAGCAGCGTCAGGAGCGCACCGGGGCCGCGGACAGGCGGCGGAGCCATCTTGCCGCCGCCGTCTTTCCCAGCAGCCCCCGGGAGGGTTTGGGGAGGAGGGGGGAGGAGGAGGAGGAGGGGATGGAGAGGGGAGAAATAGCGGGGGAGGAAAGGGCATGGGCGGGGGCGGGCGCCGGAGGAGAGGCGATGGGAGGCTGCAGGGGAGCGCAAGCAGCAAAGCAAGGCGCGCACCCCTTGACACACACACGCCCGACCCACGCTTTGGCCTCGGCATCGCAGCTTCTTCCCCCAATCCCTGCACAACACCCCACTTCCGTGTCACCCCCAAAAAGAAAGCGGGGAACACCACCAGTCTGCAGAGACTTTTTTGGGATGTGGGCTGCTCTCTTGACGAAGGGAGGAATGGCAACATTTGGGGAATGGGCGAAGCCTTCCACACTTCTTGGCTGTCAAGGATGCAGCCCAGCCAGGTCTGGTCCTTGGCATCTTGGGCCACCTCCTCACTGCCTGGGAAAGTCTGTGCCTTTGACAGCGGCGTCAACAGGCACGAGTTCCACAGGAACAGCTTCCACTGCCCTGTCTGCAGCACAGCAGTGGGTCATGAGCTGCCCACTACAGCACAACAGGGAACTGTGCACTGTCAGCAATGGCCACTATTCAGGGATAATGATGGGAGGTTTCTGGGCTTCTTAGGGGTATCTGGTTGGCCACTGTGAGAACAGGGTGGTGAAGAAATGATCCAATGACCTTATCCAGCCAGCTCTGCTTACTGTGACCTAGTCCAGTAACATCAGGGGGACTCCTCGGATCCCCATCCTGGCCACTATCAGGTAACAAAACTGGGCGGCAGCACTGGCTTTTGGAACACCTGAGCCCTACAAACCAGTTGCATTGTCTCCCCCCCCCCCCCCAGGTTAATTCGTTTCCTGTGTTTGTTCCAGTGAGACATTAACTGGCACCACCCCAATGGTGCAATATCAGTCAAAGGCGATTCTCCTCCTCGCCATCCCTTGAAAAGCAACTCCATCACCATCAGTTTGGCCCAGTGGACGGGTCCAGTCCCAAGCAGAAGTGAGATTCGTTGGAGCATGTTGCTGCAGAGGCTGCAGCTGCTTTTGGGGGGTTGGAGAGCCTTTAGATAGAGCACAGCACCTAGCACAGAATGGGAACTGCTTAAACACTGTACATGTGTGCACTACCGGCCTAGCCTAACTGAAGTTGGGGGTCAAGCAGCCCAGGGTGATGAGGAGCAGCTCTGCTGATACCAGAAGCATCCACCTGACCATGTTTGATCTGCACCAGCAAGATCCAGAAGCCATGACACCTTGACACTAACAAGGCATGCCAGCTCTTTCCGCCCACCCCTCAGCCTTGGACCATACAGACCACTTTAACAAAATCAAAACTTTTGAATCATCATAAAACCTGTAACAGCATAATCCCTCTACCAGAAACCAAGTAACCTTGTATGTGCAGAAGTGAGGTGCATGTGGAAGGGCAGAGAAGAACTGAGTGGTCTTTAGAAGGTCCCAGGTTAATTCCCTGATGGCATTTTGTGCAGGGCTGAGAGTCTCCCCTCTGACAGCACTGAGCCAGGTATATGTCCCTTAGGAGCGCACAGGGGCTGGTTTAGACAGAGACCCCCTGATCATGCTGAGCTTAACAAGTACTGCCAGGGAAATAACCAAGTTCAGCTAGAAATATGTAGTGTATCAGTCCTGAATTTCTAAAACAAGTAAATTCGTCTGGAAATTCCTGCATTGCAGGGGGTTGAGCCAGATGGCCAACTCTATGATTCTATGAAATCACCTCTTCCCCCAGGAGCCCTCCCACAGCCCGCTCTGCGCATGCCTCTGACCACCCACGTGTTCTGGGGCTCAAAGGTGGGCCAAACAAAGCCCTGTGTCACATATTGCGTTGTGTGGCATTGCTGCGTCGTGGCCTCAAGCCAAACCTGAACTCCTGGGCCTGCTGCCGCCCCTGGAGGCTCCCTTCTCTACGCGCCCCATTCCCCAGCGGTGCATGTGGGGCCTGCTCAGCCTCCGCCCTCCACTGCCCAGGTCACTCGGCCTCGGATACTTACTTTTCGCTGTGCCGCTGTTCGGACGGGCGGTGTGGCTCCGAGGCAGGGACCCCGCTGTCGAGGCCACTGGCCTCCATTGGAGTGGGGGGCTCTGGGCTGCCCTGTGGGGAAAGGCTTAGTTTAGCAGGAAGAGGCCACACGGTGAGGCTCTCAAGACCTCCCCCGCCCTGTATGTGCCTCCCCCTCCAAAAACGATGCACACCCCACCCTGCAACCCTTCCTCTCCCCCATTCCGTACTCGCTCTGGAACTGTCATCTCCATCTCCTCCTCCTCTTCCTGCTGTTCCTGCTCCTGGCCATGGCTGGGGTGTCTCTGGGGCTCCGAAGGCAGGGGAAGGGTGTTTCTTCGCTTTTCCCTTGGGCTTGATGACCCATCTTGCTGGGTCTGGGGGCTGTGGCGTGGGGGGCTCTCCCCTGTCGGGGAGGTCTCTTTGGTGTGGGGGTAGCTGCTACCGTCCCTTGAGGCTTCAGGGCTACGGGACTGAAAGCAGAAAAACAGGTTGTTTGGTTTTTTTAGATGGCCGGCTCTAGCCTGCCCACCTGAGGAAGGCTGCATTGAAATGAGACATAATCCACAGACACATCTCCCCTACTGCTCACAAGCAGGGGAAGACACAATCACGAAGCAAGCTTGTGACTGGATTAAAGGAAAGTAAACTGAGCCAGTCAATTAACTGATTAAATCCGCAACCTGAGAAAGAATAATAGTTTGGGGGAACATGCTTTCTTTGCTTTTAGATGATGATTCACCAATGTGTCACAGCCGGTATAATTTCAGAAAAGCCCTGGCTCTCCCATTAAAGAGGGAACACCTCTTAAGATGTTTGCCATTTGCACATGTATTTTATTTGATTTTTAAAGCTGCTTGCCAGCAAGGTGGGTTTATTTATTTTTTTACTAGCACAAATGATTTTTAAAGCAAGTTTTAGATTGCTCCGAATAAAAGGACTATCAATACCGCAGTGCTCATAAGAGGCTCATAGCTCTCAGCGCCCTTGAATATGCTTTATAGCTAACAGCTATTGAGAATGGTTGTGTAGACAAAATAGCCTAGCATCTAAAGTTATGAATCCTTAAATATGGACAAGAAAACAAATAATGCACTGAGACAGGATTGTTGCTTTTCTTTTTTGAAGAAAAAGAAACCCCTCTTCCACACCCCCCCTGGGTTTCAAACGCCCGGTGCAAATTCAGTTTTCATGCAAGACTTACAATGCATATTTTTAAGTTGTTCAAGGCAAGCTCTGCCTTACACCAGGGACAGAAAAATTTGGCCAGAGGCAAGTGGTAGGCGTCTGAAGCTTGGCAGCTTCTAGTTGGCCAAGCTCCGCCCATGATCTCCCATGGTTGAGCTTGCCCTGAGCTAGGAATGCCTGTTTGTTCTTAAGCAACATCTTGCTTTGAGCCAGACACTCTCGAAATGCCCAGTCTCACAGCAGCTTCCAACAAGGCTCTGGTGACTCAAGCAGGGGGCAGCATCTAGACACAGAGATCAAATGCTGAGCTGCTAGCCATGGGCCTTTTTCACCCCGTCGGAGTACATTCGTTGCCCAGAAGTCAGGGAAGGACCAGAATTGAGCACGTTTCCAGGGGAGAAAAACATTGCCCTGCTGCTCTGGAAACCTCACCTACTGTTTGAAACCCAAAGGCTGCTAAGCAGCAGCAGCAGCAGACAGCGGATAATCTCAAGTATGGGAACGCTGCTCGCAGCCTGGTAAGTGAGCAGCGTTCTTCAACTTGGGGTGCCCAGATGTTGTTGAACTACAACTCCCATAAGGCAGAGCTGGGGGGTAGGATGGGAGTTGTAGTCCAACAACACCTGGGGTCACTGGCCTAGGGGAAGCCGCCATAACAGAGAAAGGGCACTTATACACACCACTGATGACCAAGGGGCTGGCTGATTGCAAGGTGCTTTGAAACACCTGCCAAATGTATTGATTCTCATTTCCCTAATTAAAACAACAACAACAAGGGGGCGGGGAACCACACACGAAAACCCTGGTGCCCCCCCATGGATAAAAAGCCTGGGCTGAGGTGGAGGAGAGCTGGATTCAAATCCTTCCTGCTGGGAAAGGTGCCCTCAACAGGTTGAAGTGGCAATAAAGTAAGACGCAAATCCTACAGGAAAAGGGGAAAGTACTAGGCAGAGGAAGAGGGGGCGGCAGGTGTTCAAGAAACCACTCTGACTCTCTGGAAAAATTGCACAATGGGACTATCCAACCAGGACTGAATCTGTGATCCTGAACAGACACAATAATCCAGTGTGGGAAGCCCAGCTTTTTTGCCGCCGCCTTCAAGTGACTCAGGAAGAAACCGGCCACTCACCTTTCTGCTGCTGCCGCCGCTGCTGGAAGGCGACCGGGACCGCGACCTGGAGCGAGACCTGGAGCAGGAGCTGCTGTGCCGCTCGGAGCCAGAGCGGGACGGGGAGCCCGAGGCCCGCCGCTTCCTGGCGGGCGACTCAGAGGAGCCGGAGCGGGGCCTCCTGGCGCGGGAGCGAGGCTGCGAGCTGCCGCGAGAGCGGGACCTGGAGGAGCTGGACGCGGAGGAGGAAGAGCGGGAGGAGCTGGAGCCTGCGGGCCTTTCCCGCGGGCGCTGCAGGGGAGATGGCGGGGGGCCGGGCCGTTCCTCCGGGGGGCCGGGGCTGGCAGCGGCGGCTGGGACTTCCTGAGCGGGGGGAGATGGCTGAGAGAGCTGAGGGGGGGCCTCTTCGTCTTCTGCAGGGCTGGGCCCGGGGGCCTCCTTGGTCAAGAGAGGGGGAGGGGGCTCCTCGCCCCCGTCATCCTGCTGGGCGTGTTGTGCTTCTGTCAGCTGCGGAGGGGAAGGGGAGTCCTGGACCAGGGCGGCGGCGGCAGCTGCTGTCTCTTCCTCCAGAGTCTTCAGGGCCTCGGCTGCTTCCTCCTGATCCTCATCTCTCTGGATCTCCTCTGCCACCACCTGCTGGGGCTGCAGAGGGACCACAGGGCCCCCCCACCCCAGCAGGCCCACCCCCTGCTCCCCTTGTGCCTCGCGGGGGGCAGTCGCCCCTCTTTCCTCTGGGCAAGGCCCTGCTTCTTTGGCCACCTCCGCCTTTAAGGCTTCGGGTAGCTGGGCTTCGGCCTCGACGGGCTCTGCCTCTTCTGGAGGCCCTGGCATCTCAGGACCCCTCTTTTCCTCCCGGGGCCCCTCCTGCGTCACAGTTGCTGGCTGCTCTTCCCTGCACTCTGGGGCTGCGGGTTCAGCCTCTGCGAGGCCCTTTGAGGGTGGGAGAAGTGGCATGGCCGCTCCGCAAACTGGGGCGTCCGGGGTTTGGGCCGTGGCCTCTTTTGGCTGGGCCTGTGGGGCAATGGGCAGGGAAGGCTGGCATGCGCCCTTCTCCAGGGGAGCTGGGGTGCTGGGCTCAGCCTGCCCCTTTGGCGTCTGTTTGGCCGGCAACGCGGCAGCTTCTTCTTCCTCCTCCTCGTCTTCCTCGTCGTCGTCCTCTTCGTCGTCCTCCTCCTCCTCTTCCTCCTCCTCTTTCACAGGAGCCCTCTGGGCTGCCCTCCGACTCCTGAGAGGTGTCTCTCGCTCTTCGCTGCTTGGGGCATGGGCGGCTCCCGGGGTCTTTACAGCTCTGGCCTGAAGGGAAGAGGAAATCACAGCATGCCTCCAGCAGCTTTGCACCAGCCCCTCCTGGGGCAAATGCCTCGTACGCACCTCCCCACGCTGACCCCCTCAACCCATATCACGGCCACTTACCTGCCTGACCCGGGTCGGGTGCTGCTCTGGTCTTCTTGGCCCTTCTTCATCAGATTCTTCCCTCTCCCGTGACACAATGCAGCTTTTGCCTAGCAAAGGAAGGGGAGAACCATCAGATGGTCAGGCCAGAAATGGCTTCTCACACAAGGTAGGCCACCCCAAGGGAAGCTCAGGTGGCAGCTGGGAGAGGCACAAGGTCCAGCATTGTGTTCTCGCAGTGGCCAACCAGAGGCATTTTGGAAACCTGCCATCAGGATTCGAACACAAGATTCCTCTCTCCTCCTCTGGTTTCCAGCAAATGGTACTCAGAAGCATTGCTCTCCCTGACCATGGAGTCAAAGCACAGTCATAATGGCTAGTAGCCATCTTGTTCTTCGTGAATTTGTCCACTCCTCTTCTAAAGCCATCCAAGTGGATGGCCATGCTGGAGGCACGCTGCGATTTCCTCTTCCCTTCAGGCCATCACCGCCTCCTGTGGTGGTGGGGGTCCATAGTTCCACTATGTGAGGAAGGACTTTCTTTCATTTATCCGGCTCAATTACATCTTCACAAAGCAAACAGATCAGCTGCCAATCTATTCGCCCCCAATATATATAAAAGGGCTCCAACCCCACCCCAGTACCTTCATTTTTGACCCTAGGAGCAGAGGAGGCTGCTTGGTAACATCTCAGAACATTGGTCCATCAATCTCAGTATGACCTACCCTATTTCTGTGACCGTCACTGGTTTTATCTGTTTTAAAAATTGAATTCTAATTGGTTGTGATGGCTGAGTTTTAAGTTGCTATAACCGGCCCAGAGATCTGCTGATGAAGGGTGGGCAATAAATTGAACAATGATGATGATACACTACCAATAACAGTAGAAGAAATAATTATAATAGTACACGGACTAGCCCTACCTAGAGATTTCACTGGGGACTGAACCTTCTGCATGGTAAGTAGATAAGTCTGCCCCCCCCAAGACATGGGTCTTCTTCCTGATTACTGTCAACATGAGTACTACCAGAAGCCTCTCATAATACTCAAGCAAGCAATCACATACACAAGTAGTGTGTATGTGTATGTGTACACAAACACACAAACAGCTAGGAGCAAACATTCCCCTCTGCCATGCCTCTCCATTTTGGCTGAAGTGAGAGCAAATGTGGCTGATCTCTTATCTTGCTGGAGGCATAGCCAGAAGTTGCTCTTCTCCCTGGTGGGTGTGCAGGTGTGTAAACACTCTTACACTGGCTCGCCTCTGATCTATGTACATCTAGTGGAACAATAGTTACTGATAATCCACATTCTGAACAAAAGCTTTGATCAACCTTGACGATCAGCGGGCATGGAAGGAAACGGATGTGCTAACAGGGCATCTAACAGGGCATCGCCTTAAGCCTCAAGGTGTGGAATGTTGCCCAGCTGTTTGGAGGGAGCAACACCACCACCTGGTCCCCCTGGTCACCCAAATCCCTCTGCAGCAGAAGCGTGTGCAAACACATCTTCCGAACAGAGAAACTGGATGACTGCCAAGAGGTTTGCAAATGCCTGTCTGTCTGGGGCACCTCCTCCTGCCCTCTTTTTCTCTGGAAGCCAGGTACACGGGAGCCACGTTCTGAGTGGGTCGAGAACACACACCTTTTAAAAAGCTAGACCAGGGGTCAGCAAACATTTTCAGCAGGGGGCCGGTCCACTGTCCCTCAGACCTTGTGGGGGGCCGGACTATATTTTTTGGGGGGGGGCATGAACGAATTCCTATGCCCCACATATAACCCAGAGATGCATTTTAAATAAAAGAACACATTCTACTCATGTAAAAACACGCTGATTCCTGGACCGTCTGGGCCCGGGCCTTAGTTTGCATACCCCTGAGCTAGACTTTCAAATCCACACACTGGAATCAACTGCATGAGTATGTTTCTTAGCAATTGAGAGGTGAGGCAAAAGCACATTAACCCTGCAGTTGCATGGCTGTGCTATAACAAGGAAAACAACATGGAACATAGTGTACATCTTTCCCCCCTTTCAAAATTGCAGCCGACCCTACAGAACAAGTAATGTAAAATCTATCATGCCCTTAACAACCCAGACTCTCAATAATGGCATCAGAATATTGTAACCAGCTCCGAATGGTTCATGTTTTCCAAATACCATTTGTCATAGTCCATCCATTTCCGTAATTAACTAATGCAATCTTGCTGCATCATGTCTGGATCTGACCGTCTATTAAGATGTCTCTATTTCAGAGCTATGAAAATTTGGCTTAAAATCATTCCATCAGACCTTTTACACGGTTACATCTGGTTTTAAAGCAGAATTGTCTACAGCAGGGGTGGTCCCATTCCCTTCTAAGCAACCTTTTGAGGACAACATACCAGAGACAAAAAGCTGGAGCAGCAAGGAGTGTAAAAATTTTTCTTTGCACAGGAGTTTAGCTTCCACACACATACCTCTCTATCCTCCACCCAAACAAGCGAGAGGCATTATCAGAGCTCAAGGACACATTCCAGGCAGGCAAAAATGCTCAGAGTGAGAAGCAAGGTCAGCAAGGAACATGGCCTGGGGAGGATTCTCAGGGCCAAATACAGAGGGACAGCAGGCCACGTTTAGCACCTGGGCCCAAATTCCCCCACCACTGACCTGGAGTTGCAGAGTTGATTCAGATGTGATGCTAAATAGCAGTTCAGCATTATCAGAATGAGAAACGGAGAATCTCGGGTCCACGTGTTCCCCTCCCCCAAGTATGAGACCTCTGGGTATAGGGCGGTACAGTGGTACCTCGGGTTACATACGCTTCAGGTGACATGCGCTTCAGGTTACAGACTCTGCTAACCCAGGAGTGCTTCAGGTTAAGTACTTTGCTTCAGGATGAGAACAGAAATTGTGCTCCGGCGGCGCGGCAGCAGCAGGAGGCCCCATTAGCTAAAGTGGTGCTTCAGGTTAAGAACAGTTTCAGGTTAAGTACGGACCTCTGGAATGAATTAAGTACTTAACCCGAGGTACCACTGTATATAAATTCAATCAATCAATCAATCAATCAATCAAAGCTGCAGGGAGGAGTTTGGAAGCATCACTTCCACTGTAGACCAACCACACCTTGCTGTGTCACCCAAACCTGATAAGCCGAAGCTGATCTTGACCGTGGTTTGTTGAAACTGCAAATGCATCCAAAGTCAGCCATGTAGGAAGTTCACATTCGTGGAGATGGCTAATGTAGGTCCACTAATTCCAGTAGGTCTACCATGAGTAGAACCTAGTTAGATACAACCTGGCATTTAAGAAAGTGACTTATGTCAACAAACCATGGTTAAGATAAAACATGGTTTAGGGTTCCGATGTAATGTCTGAAATGGAAGCAGAAGGCTCTGATTTTCCCATGGCTATTTTGGAGGAGGAGAAAGGAGGGAGGGAGTGTGTGAAGGCAAGGTTTGCTGCACTCATCCCCCTAATTCTAAAATCTGGGTTATGGGCAAACCTAGGTTGCCTCAGAGTTGGTGAGGCTCACGTGACATCAACATGAAAAAGAGCCTTTAGTGTCATTGGCCCAGTCCTGAGGAATGCTTTGCCAATAGGGATTCAGCAGGTGCCTTCTGTTTCAACCTATAAATGCCTGCTGGAAACTTGGCTATTTTAGAATGGCAGATTAAATTGATGGGCTATGCTGAAACGGCAAAAATGACCAGAAAAACTAGGAATCAGGAAGACCAACATTTTAGTAAGAAATGGGGGAAATATATAATTTATCTTAAAAATCATTGTAAATAATTAAAATTAGTAGTAGGATCGGAATGATACTTGTCGTTAATGTTGGACTAAGGTTGTAATGGAGATTTAATAGAATTGTATTAATAGAGAAGATGCAGGAGGAAAAAAGTTAACACAAGGACCCACAAAGGGGAGGAGGGAAGTCCATGGGAATTTATGGAATTCTCTTTTTGTTTTGGTTGTTTGACGATGGTTTGTAAATTTCAAAGTTTGGAAAATTAAATAAATATATATAGAGAGAGAGAGAAGAAAAGTTGGCTATTTTGCCAGGCTTATGCGGGCAATTAATAATACATCCTTTTATAACAGTTAGCTGATGTTCTCAGGTTTTAATTTAAATATATATATATATATATATATGGGCAGTGCTTTTTTCTGAGGAGATGCAGGGGTACGCATACCCCTAAACATTTTGTGAATCTTTGTACTTTTGTCCATTTACTGTATTTATTTCCCCCGATTTGAACTATAAATTGGTGATTTTCTTGAGTCAAAACGAGAGTACCCCTAAACATTTGTTTAAAGAAAAAAAGCACTGTATATAGGCATTACTGTAAACTGCATTGATATATTTTGATCTCCCTGTGGAGTATTGTGGGGAAAACCTTCGCCCGTGTGGTTCTCAACAGATTACAGTCATTCACTGACAAGAGTCTATCCCATGTCACAATACAGCTTTAGAACTCAGAGGTCAGCAGCCAATGTGATTTTCTCACTGTTCCAGCTGCAGGAGTATTGCCGAGAGGAGAGGCGCCTTTCTATATCACCTTCCTAGACCTGACAAGGGCCTTTGACCTCATCAGCCGAAAAGGGCTCTTTGCACTGCTCAACAAGATAGGATGCCCACCTAAGCTTCACAAGATGATTGTGTTTTTATAGCAACAAAGGGTTTTTTTTTTTAATAAATAAATAAACTGCCCCCCAATGTTATTTCCAAATTTCTTAAAGCGGACAATAAATAACTGACCTTCTTCTCAAAAACAAACATACACTGCGTATCCTAATGGGGCATGAAGAAGCAATTCATTTAGAGGGAGAAACGCACCAATTATTGATGCCTATCCTGTCGCACAACCACACATTTCAACATGTTTCTTCTTGCAGCATCCCTGAGGAAGGAAGACTTAAACATGACCTTTGTTAATCACCACCTCCGATTTTAACTACTTAATGGTTTTATATCGTTATCTTGAAAGTTTTATTAATGACTGTCGTGGTCTGTCAACAGTATTCTGATACCCGATATAAAACTTCCATGCTATCTTGTCCCTCAGTAAATGTGCAGAATACGAACACATAATTTACTGGAGAGTACCAGCTGTTTGGCCTCTGTTTCATCAGAAACACTCCACAAGATCAAGTTGTTTCTCCTCAAAACGTTTTCCAACTCATCAACTTCATTTTAACATTCCCTTTGCTTTTTTACTAGGGGCTTTTTCACAAGGACCCATTTAACTTGCCAGGTCATCAAAGTTTGTGTTCCAAGTTACATATTTACTTGTTTTCTATACGGAATTTATAACCTGCCTTTCGAAAAGAGACACCCATAAGGATAAAAACAGCACAGTCGGCAGGCAAAAACAACAACATCCTTTCCTCCACCTTTTTGCCCATCTTTTCAATCCTCTTATCAATTTTTCTTTCCACAGGCAAAATATTTCTCGATCTTTCAGTGTTCTTATCCAATTCCTTAATTTGGAACTTAACACAATTTTTCTGAATTTTTGGGTCACTCTTTGGGGTTAGAATTGAAGCTTTGTCAATAACTAAAAGAGCGCCTTCCTTAATATCAACTACTTCGGCCCCTACAATCCCTCCCAGGTGAATCGCACCTGGATCCATCATTATTAACTTTCAGGAGGAACTTGAGAACAACCCTGCTTGCCTAGGCGTTTGATGACTGAAAAACACTGTTCCTGACCGTCACTGGCTGCAATAATGTTTTCAACTATTTTTAAAATGTGTTTTCAAATGTTTTTATTACTGATGTGCTTGCTGCCCTGAGCTCCTTTGGGAGGGAAGGGTGGCATATAAACTGAAGGAAGAGAGAAAGAGAGGGAGGGAGGAAGCACCCTACTTTCACAGGCAGGCTTGGTGGGGATGCAGGAGAGGGCCTTCTCAGTGGTGGTTCCCAGACTTTGGATCTCCCTCCCTAGAGACGCTAGTCAGGTTCCTTCCTTGCTGTCCTGCTGGCAGGTGAAGACTTTATTCTTCCAACAGGCTTTTGGGAATTTACTGCTTGTATCATGCTGTTTTCATTGCAATCATTGGTATGTTTTAAACAGATTTTTTAGATTAGGACTTCCGGGGTGGCGCCACCGGCAATGGCGGGCTCCCTCTGAATTGGAGGGACTAGCTCCGCATGAAACGGGTCTTTTCCACTGCGGCGTAGCGGAGACCCTTCTGGAAATCACAGGCGGATGAAGCCTGTGACCATGGGACTCGGCAGGCACCTTTAGCGCCCCCCCAACTCGCAAAGGAACCCACAAACGGGCTCCGAAGTGAAGAGGGGGAAGTGGCGCAGTGCTATGAGTCAATTGCTTTTTCTGCGGAGCGAAGCCGCATAGCCGTTGCCGGAGAGCGCTGCCTTTTTCCTGGGACAATTTGGCATTTAAAACAACCAACCGTGAGTACTGGAACATTGAATATTTGGACTTCAAATAAGAACTGGCGAAATAAAAGGAATTTGGACTTAAAAATTAACCCTAATTTGGTACTGAAACGGGAAGGTTTAAACAGGAAGTCACCCTTCCGTTTCCTCGTAGTCAGAACAAAGCAAAGACAACGCAAACTAGAGCCTTAAAAATCACTTTTAAAGGATCAACTTTCATCATTTAAAATCGCTGAACCCCCCTTCGGTAGCAGGGGAAGAAGGGGGACCTTTTTTTGAGCTGTTTAAACCTGCAGAAGTGAATCTAAAGCAAAGTAATTTTCCACCGTCCTGACCCTGGAGCGGGGTGTCAGAATTGACGTTTGAAGCTCATTGACCAGAAACAAATGTCTTTGACAGATAGTTAAAAGAAGAGAAACATTGTGACTCAATTGTTTCCTTTCGTCTTTTAAAACAACAAATATGGACAAAATATCTTAAAAAAGAAACTTTGTTGCTATTGTTTTCAAGAAAAAGAACAACCAGAAGTTTTTCCCCCTAGAGGGGAACTGTGAAATTGTAACTAATTCCTGGGAACTTGCAGCTGTCACTGATTACAACTGTGGGAAAGGATTTGTGACCTTGTAGGACAATGTCTTCAGAAGCACTGTTGGGTGCTTTCTGTAAAATAAATGCCCTATTGGATCAGTTAAGTCAGAAGACGGATTTCATGACTAATGCGGCCAGAACCTTTGAACAGGTAGTGGGAAACTATATGGAGCCCACCCAGGAATCAAAACAGGAGCGTGCCATGACAGAACAACTGAAAGAAGAGGACCTTGCTGAATCTTGGGCGCCAGAGACGGAGGGAGCTGCGGCCCAGCAGGAATATAAACTCTTGGATTTGATAAATGAACTTGGAAAAAATCAGACTTGGAAAGATAAAATCTGGTTTGGTTTGGAAATGGGGGGTTGGATAGACCCCCCTTTACAGGGAGATTTGGACTTTTCAAGTCTGGAAAGGGGCCGTCAGATGTTTGGAGCTGTGGGGGCTCTCAATTTTGAGAATCTGGAGCATGCTTGTAAATACTACATCGAGCCTATCCTGGACTATGGAAAAGGGATCGTCTTGCTGAAAAGGGTCAAAAACACTACCAAGCTGGAGTTCCCACGAATAAAAGGGAAATATAAAGAAGAGTTACGGAAGGGACACGGAAGAGACTTAAGGGCCTCGGATATAAGATTGCCAGGTTAATGTGCTAGATTAATAGGATAAAAAGGACTGACAAAACCCGGGACCAGGAGGAAGGGACGTTGGATGAAGACTGGATTGCTTTTTTCTTTTATTTTTATCATTAGGACTGTTTTATAAAATTGATGAATGTTAGGAAAATGTTGAAATGAAACTATTTGGCTCTTATAAAAATGTCTAAAGAACTAGGTAAGAATGTTATGGTTTAGGAGAAGTTGGTAAAAATTAAGATTTAAGTTTTAAACTTTAAGGTTTTCTATAAGATAAGATGAAAATAGATCAAGGTAATTGATGACAGAATACTATGAATTATGGAAAGGATTTGCTGTGATTATTATAAAACAGGATACAGGAAAAGGGAGGAGGAGGTCAAGGAAAGAAGGTATTGAAAGTGGAGAATTGGAGAATGATGGTTTTATTATTATTATTATTATTATTATTATTATTATTCTGTCTTGTTTTTTCTTTTGTGTAATTTTTTTAAAAAAAACTCTTTTTTCAATAAATATCATTTAAAAAAAAATAAACAGATTTTTTAGATTATACAGTCATACCTCGGGTTGAAGTCGCTTCAGGTTAAGCCTTTTCGGGTTGCGCTCCGCGGCGACCCAGAAGTAAAGGAGCACATCACGTCTGGGTTTCGCCGCTTGCGCTCAAAATGACGCCATGCGCGGAAGCGGCAAATTGCGACCCGCACAGACGTGGGTTGCGTTCACTTCAGTATGCGAACAGGGCTCCGGAACGGATCCCGTTCGTATCCAGGGGTACCACTGTATAGCTTTAATTCTATCAGTGTTTAATTGTACAGTGATACCTCAGGTTAAGAACTTAATTCGTTCTGGAGGTCCGTTCTTAACCTGAAACTGTCCTTAAGCTGAAGCACCACTTTAGCTAATGGGGCCTCCCGCTGCCACCACCGCGCGATTTCTGTTCTCATCCTGAAGCAAAGTTCTTAACCCGAGGTACTATTTCTGGGTTAGTGGAGTCTGTAACCTGAAGCATCTGTAACCCGAGGTACTACTGTATTTTAACAATTGCCTTTTCTATGATTTTAGTGGTTCTTGTTTTCATCTGTAAGCTGCCTTGTGTCCCGTCAGGTAAAAAGGCAGGGTATAAATAAATTTATAAAGGAGGAGGAGGAAAGAAAAGAAGGAAGCTGTCTGTAACCTCAGAGACTTCTCTTTGTATGTTTTGAATTGTCAGAGCCTCCGTTTTTTCATGGAACAGGATGAAACATTTGTACCATTTTTCTTTTCCACCTAAAATGACCACAGACTCTTGTGTAATATAAATATTGTGGAAAGTGCCACTAACTGGGAATGAACAAAATCAGTATTTTCAAAAGCGGCACAAGCTTCCAAATTCCACAGGAGCTCCAGGGTGGGCAATACGACTGCTCAGAACACAAACCGTTCCAAGACATCCATTTTGGTTTCATTCCAAACATCCGCAGCAGGCAAAAGATATGCTAGCTACCAATTAGACTTAAAAGTTCCCGTTAGGCAGAAGTGTGGGCTCCGTTCCGGCTCTTTGGTTACAGAATTAAAAGCCAACAACAGCAATACAAGAATGTGCCTTAATTCTTTGGTTCTGAAAGGCAGTCTGCCTCCCAAGTCTACTGGGGTGGAGAATTAGGAGAGAGAGAGAACGGGGCTCATTATACTCACTCTCTGAATCCGCAGCTTCCCGAGCTTCCCGTTCCAGACGTTGCCTCAGCAACTCCTGCTGCTTTTCCAGGTACTGTTTGATGAAGCTGTTTTGACTCATCTCCTCGCCAATCTGACAGGACACAATAGAGAAACTGGGCCTTACAAGGAGGGCAAGAGTTTTGACCCCAACCTTAGGCAGTTGTGGTGGATCTAGCAAGTTAGAACGGGAAGGCACAAACTCCAGGGAAGTCAAGCTGAGGAGCCCCTAAGTTCACGCTGCAGCTGTGGGGGCAGGACTGGAACTGGGCACAGACAATTATCACGGGACTTTCAAGGCCAACTGCAGAGAGGGAAAGGGAAAGGGCTGCTTCCCTGCAGCCAGCTCAATGTAGCACAACCACACAAGGCATCTCTCACCTGGGAATTGGGTTGGAAGGTGGTGTGAGGAGTTGAGTGCTTCTGGAGGTTTTCAAGCATCAGGGCCTGAAATGAAAAAAGGGAGATATCAGGTCAGATAATCTCACACTGCCCAGAACTTTGACGACACCCAAGGCTGGCCCATGCCTCAAACATACTAATTACCATCTCTCTTTTTTAAAAAAAAACACCCTATCCCAAAGTCCATCAAGAACCATCTTCCATATGCTAAGCCATAAAGGATACAACCCGAGTTACACCAGTTTCTCAAGACACCCAATAACTAACCATCCAATCCATTCTCAGTTCCGTGAGTTAAACCCAGCATTCATTTGTCACTTTCTTAGCGAGGATTTAGCCTTTAACCCAACCCTGCATTTCCTAAACTCACCCCAACCCTCACTCAGCAACCTGACTCAAGAAATCCAAACCACCCTACCTATCCCAGCTCCTGTGACCTGTCCAAGGACAACTTCTCCTTCATACCCCCCAATAAGCCCCAGTCCTCCAAGTCCTAACAAAACGACACCTCCAAATCACTGCATGCCTTTCCACCAACACACAATGGTGAATCCGAAGTCATTACTACTTAATAATTTTGCACCACTTCTTTTGCGCCTCTTACTGAAATGTAATTAATCTCACTAGGCTTTAGTACAATCCAGCTGAATCCACAGATGTCAGCTTGATCAGAAATGGACTCTTCAGTTCAATTATGCCAAGTCCGAAACCACACGTGCCACCAGTCTGGAACTTAAGACTCCAGTTGACTTTTTTACACATCCAACCTTCATCAGTTATCTTCAGAGGAAGCTCACATGTGATTCACGGTAAGATATTTAGCTACTAACTTGTCAACATCTCACTGAAACAGCACATCCGTACAGCACCAAACGTGTACACCACCCAAGTCATCTCTCATCACAGAGAACCCTGCCAGACGCATCACGGAAGTTTCTGCAACAGCTAATAATTTGCAACACACTTCTTCATTCGCAAAAGACGATACAAAATTTTATCCTCTAACTGCACAACAATCCATTCAGGTAGGTCATAATAACTGACTTTGAAAGAAGAAAAACCAAAGTCATGACGTTGAGGCTCATTTAATATTCTGTGTGCTTTTCAGATAAATCCTGGTCTCCTACAGCAATTAATGTGGTCTTCCCCAACCCAGCGCCCTCCAACTTTTTGGACCCCATCTCCCATTCACCTTGGCCAGCAGGACAGTGCTAACCGTGGTAGATGGGAGTTTTAGTCCAAAATCTCTGGAGCGACTAGGATAGATCTAATGGTAACTAAACTTGATTTAAAGCCAGAGTGTAGCCTCTTCCACCTGGGAAGAGGCTCCACTCCAACCCAGCCAACCTAAATGCAAAAGGGCCATCTTCCCCCACCCCAAAAAGTTACCTAATCAGAAGCAAGGACAACCCCTACTGCACACACAGAATGAGGTCTACTATAATAAGAAAGTTGAAATCAGGTATCCATGTCATTCAGTGATGAAAACAAGGACAAATTTCCACTCTTGCCTGAAATTCAGAACATCAAGTCCGACTAAAACAGTGGCAAGAAGTAGGATCGGTGCACTTGTCAGTTGTTACTTGGCTCATTATTTGACCATGGTCAAATAGTCCATGAGGCTCTGAATACCAATGTAAAGGTGTTTACTTTTTTAAAATTTCAGTACACTGTCATGTTACGCCTGCAAAACCCAACTGCAAAAAAGCAATGCTTCTTATAGTGAACACTTCCTATTAACTGCAGGCATCTTCAAACAGGGGCACAAGAAGTAATCGGCAACAAAAGCTAATGCCTAGTGAGTAGAGTTTGGAGACTTGGCAGGGGGTTGGACTAGATGACCCTCAGGATCCCTTCCAACTCTACTATTGTATGATCTCATGACTAGGGCCAGGGAGATCTAGGCTGAAATCCCCACTCAGCCATGAAGCTCATTAGGTGATGCCGGGCCTATTAAATGCCCTCAATTTAACCTACCTCACAGGGTTGTTGTGCAGATATAATGGCAGGATAACCATGAATGCCACACTGAGTTCCTTGAGGGAAACGTGCATCTAATAAATATATATATTCTTCAACAAATGACAGCCATCTAATTAATGTTTTGAATTTCACATACAACCTGTTGGTCACAATTTAAACTATCTTTAAAGATACTTTCATTTGGTCAATTGACCAAATCTCTTGGGGGCCAAAGTACTCCAGCCAGAAGAACAAATCAACAGAAAACATGCAGAATACAGGAGGAAGCGAGTTCTTTACACAGATGGGGGAATTTACAGTGCCAGCCAGAAACATACTGACACTCAAAAAATGCAACGGCATTGTATCTAAGCACAAGTAATTCTCAAGAGAAGTTACTGATTCTGTAGCGCAAGCCTTGCCTAATTCAGCGCTTCCACCAATGGCTAATTTTTACAAAGAGAGTTACTGGGGCTCAAGCCCACCTGGCAGCCTCTCTGAGTTATAGCCACTGATGGAAGAGCGACTCTTTATGAGGACAGTGCAGGTTCCATGGTGGGCTCTCTCGGTACTTTCAGCCCCGAATCCTAACAAGTTGCAGCTCAAATTAAGATCTGACTCCCGCCCAAACAGAGTCTATTAACGCAGAAAGAATCACGCATGTGCAATGAAGTAAGTGCAAATAGGATTCATGTAACACGTAACTGACTCACCACACACAGCCCCATGTTGCCTGTCTTGCCCTTCCTTCAGGGAACTCGTACGCCACCTGTTTTAACCTCACAACAACCCTGTGAGGTAGGTGAGGCTGAGATACTGACCCCGAATGTGCTTCACAGGTGCATGGCAATTAGAACCCAAGTCTCCCAGTTCTAGTACAGTGGTACCTCGGGTTAAGTACTTAATTCGTTCCAGAGGTCCGTTCTTAACCTGAAACTGTTCTTAACCTGAAGCACCACTTTAGCTAATGAGGCCTCCTGCTGCTGCTGCGCCGTCGGAGCACGATTTCTGTTCTCATCCTGAAGCAAAGTTCTTAACCCGAGGTAATATTTCTGGGTTAGTGGAGTCTGTAACCTGAAGCATATGTAACCCGAGGTACCACTGTACAACACAGTAACCTGTTACACCAATAGTCTTCAACCCTTCTGGACACTGCACCCACTTTCAACTCAAACCTGCATTTGAGGGCCCATTTGAGAGCAAGAGTCTCTTACTCTCCGCGTTGTGGGTTTGAGCCCCAGGTTGGGCAAAAGGGTTAGACTATATGATTCTTGTGGTCCCTTCCAACTCTACAATTCTATGTGTTACATCACACTGCCTTATAATGAAGGATATGGCTATGGTCTAGCTCCACTGTCAAGAGGCGGTATGACTCAAGTAGGAAGAGTGCTGTTGTGTCCAGGTCTTGCCTGCAGGTTTCCCTTGGGCATCTGCTGGAGAACAGGACACCAGACTAGCGAGAACAGGACGTTAAAACTAAATGGGCCTGTGCCCTGATCCAGCAGCTAGGTTCTTCGTATGCTTCTATAATCCAAATTTGCAGCTACACGCCAAAGGCTTTGATTAATTTACGTGCCACAAAGGTGCACCAAGCACAGCAGGGATTATTCACAAATTGGAAAACTGGCATAGTACTACACTGTAAGCAGCCAGAAAAGCGCTGACACCCAGAGGACTGAGAGATACTGTAACCCAAGAGATTCAACAGTGAAGCAGGAAAGCCCTGGGTTCCAATCTTACCTCTGCCATGAACTCAGCAGGTGTTACTATCACAGTATTTAAGTCAAGGAAGGGGGGGAAAGGATAACACCACACATGCACACACGTACAGTCTGGGAACAGTTCCAATAACATGACATAAGAACAAGCAATATCCATTTATCCCATACATCCATTTGACCCCAAAATCAGAGCATAACGAACTTTTGCCCAGGACAGGGCACCACAACTTGTCTTCCTTTTCAATTGCTCACTCCCTGCCCCATGGCATCAAGAAAGAAAGTCCACACAGGGTAAAATGCACAGGTTCCCAATCCCTCACTCTGGACTCCCTATACTTCTGATACATTCACAGATTCTGCTTCCATTTACTTATATTACATTCCAAACACAAGACTCCTTTGCACCGTTGTACATGGACAGAATAGAGAAATGCCTGCTTTCAGCGGGGCACAGTTCTAAAGTTGAAAGACTTGGAGCCGACCTTGTGCAAAGTTCTCAACATGCTCAAGGGAGATACTCGCAAAACCCTCTGCACACTTTTAACATTTTGCAGAAACTTTACGTAAAATAAAAATGCAAGGCGTCTTCAACTGGGAGAGCTCCAACACAAGCAGCTCAGCTCTTGCAAAGCTCACCTGGCTCGTCCTAACCGTCTGTAACATTTGCCAGGGAAGCTCAATGAAGGTATAAAACACAGAGAATTAACCAAGGGGACATCCGCCCTCAAAAAATAATTTTGCAAGGGTGAAAGGTGAAACTGAAAAGGGATATGGTTGTAATTTAATGGGTTATAAAACCTACCACTTTCCCTCCAACACTGGATGCCAATCGCGCTTTGATTTAGTAACAAGAGATACAGCTTTCACGAGATCTACCCCCCCTATTTTTTTAAAGGAGAACCTCCACTCCCTCCTCCTGCTGGGTGACCCCAAAGTGATGTCAGAAGTGGGGGGCCCTCTCCTTTTGGTGGTGTGGGCACCGTCCTCCCCCCCCCCCCACTTGTGCAACCGGTGGCGCCCCGCACAACCTCGCCCCGCCACTTGGTGGCAGTAGTGGGATACTGCCCCGCACATGCGTAGTAACGATCTGCACCCCGGGGCCACGAGCCCCGTCGCTGAGGCCAAAAAACTGCCTGTCTGGGTCTGCGCATGCGCGGAGCGGCCCGGGCCCCAGGGCCCCCTTCCGCCGGGCCCTTTCTCTCACCCCGCGGAGGCGCTTGATCAACGCGCTCTTCTGCCCGCTCTTCGCCAGGCCGCGCTGCTCCAGAGCCGCCTTCAGGTCGGCGACCCTCAACGCCTGGAGCGGCCTCCCGTCCAGAGTAACCTCCTCCCCGTCCGCCATCTTGTGTGGCGCCGCTGCCTGCCCTCCCCGGAGCTTCGGGGGCGTTCGGAAACTTCCGGAGGGGGCTTCGGCGCTCTGAGACGACCTCCGACACCGCCTTCGACTTCGCTCGAGAATCTCCGCCCGCGCTTCGTTCGCAGTCGTGCGTTTCCGGCCACTTCCGCTCAGTATCCAGAACCCCAAATGAGGGGAGGGAGGGAGGGCAAAGGGGGGAGTTGCGCGGGTGCTACCCTCGCCCGGCGATTCTTTCCGGGCTATTTCGGGTGTTTCCGGGTCTCCCGAAGAGCGCTCCAATCCGGAAGCAAGTTCCGGCAAAGTCCTCGGTAACTTCCGGCGATCGCCGGAACCCCCGGCCGTGTCGCGCGAAACCCCCTCGGCAATTTCCGCCGAGAGGAAGGCGATCGTTCTTTCCTCCTCCTCCCCGCGCAAATCATTGGACTGAAGTTCGGGCGTTTCCGGACGCGCTCGGCTCTTTCCGTCCCTCGTCTCCTCCCCGAGGTGAAAAATGGAAGCGGCGACATTGGATGTTGGGACGGGAGGAGGCGCGTGTTGAGCAGGGAGCGGACTCAGGTGAGAACTCGGCGCCGGCTTTCCGGGGATCTTTCTTGGGAGCGTCACCCCCCCCCCACCCCCAGCCTGTCATGTTATAGGAGGGGAGGGAATCGTGGAATTGCAATGGCAGCCCTCAACGCCTGGATCATTTTGCACAAATGAATTGGGGGGGGGGGGAGAGAGGGTTAGGGACGAAACTTGACCCTCCCTCTGCACCGCCACCTTCTGAAATCTCGGGGCTATATGTGCACATAAATCAGAACTATGCTTAGGGCTGATCTTTCTGAGACGTTTCCCGTTTTCGGAAGGTGGGGTGGGGTGGACGATTGCGGGAGTCCTCAGATCAACAACGGACACCCCCCTCCCCTCAGGAGCTAAGAGGTGATTTAGATTATGCCCCCTGGTGTAAAAAAAACCAGCCAGCTATTTGCTGCAACATTTTAAATTAGTTACTGGGATGTTTCCTGTCGGTGTATTCATAGGGTATTTGTGGATCCTAGTTTCATTGCTTAATAAACGATAAGAATGTCACCCTGTGTTTGATCCGGCATTCAAGTTCTTCTCAGATCCTAAAAGTTGCCTTGATTTCCATCAGGGGAAATAAAATATATACAATAATCTCATTTTACATCCTTAGCTGATAGAAAGTTTGAACCCAGGTTTCACATGTAAACATCCCTAGCCCACCCCCTATCCTCATTCCCATGCACCATCAGGGCATTTCTGACTGGACACTCATATATTCAGCTTCCTCTCTCCATCTTCTTCCAGAATTCTCCGTTTCAAATCTTCTCTTGTAAGGTCCCTGGTAGTTTGAAGAAGCAGCCTTCATAACCTCCCCTGCTGCCAGCATATGGGATCCCAGGACATAATTCTCACTCTGCTCACTTTCAGTTGGTCATTTGTGTTGTGCAGTTCTTCATCTCCAGCATTCGCAGGGTCTTTTCCATCTCTTGTTTACTTCTGCTGCTCTTCACGAGAGCCTGCCACAGTTTTGCACAGCTCACTGTGGTGTTGCAGCCTTCTAAAGTGATTGTTACATGCAGGCACTTGGAGCAGCACCATTTCCTGTAAGTTCCTATTGCACCATCAACACCCATTTGCCAAAACTCTGCCTTCAAGGCATGCCTTGGTCCCCTCATTTGTATAGGCTGTGTCGCTTTCATAGCCGTAGGTGGAACACGTGGAGCAAAACGCCAGGTTCAATTCGTGGCACCTCCAGGGGACGAATTTTGGCAACTATTCCTGCGGAAGTGGAAATAATAGTTTTGGCTGGTATCTTTTGTCCATTCCTTTGATGGGAACCACATTTTGCTGTATTTCTAAAAAAGAGAAGAATTGCTGTCGAGTGAGGAGGAGGAGGAGAGACCAGGATCAGGGAGAGGGAGAGTAAAAGAGAGACACAGTCACAGACACGCCCCTTGTAAGATATCAGAACCATCTAAGTTTCCTCTGAAGTTCCATTATACGTAACAGAACGTGCACACAATTCTCTTGGAAATGTGCCCCATAATGCTTAGATTTGGAGCATACAGAACAACTGCTTTGCAACGGGTTTGGGTCCCTTTCAACTCAACACTTCAGTGATTCCTGAATGGTTTTCTTCGCCCGCACTTTCTCCAGAGTGACCGTAGGAGCCAATCCTCGGTGGCTAAAAGGCTCCTCTTTCATGCTGAGAGGTGACTCTTAAGTCGCTGGAGGCCGGGGCCCGGCTGCAGACATAGTATAAGGGGTCTTCAACGCTCCCCCCCACGGACCCTGAACCACTACACCCATGTTGCAAGTTAGCTATTAAGGGTACTTTGCTTGTCTCGAAACATCAAGGACTGACATTACTGGGTTTGGCAAAAGTTATGCTATGAGGCCTAGGATCCTCGTACTGTAGCCTTATCAGTACCTACAGGACCGCCTCTCCTGGTATATCCCACAGAGGACCTTACGGTCTTCAAACAAAAACATCTTGGAGGTCCCAGGCCACAGGGAGGCTAGGCTGGCCTCAACCAGAGCCAGGGCTTCTTCGGCCGTGGCCCCGATCTGATGGAACGCTCTGTCACAAGAGACTGGGGCCCTGCGGGTCTTGACATCTTTCTGCAGGGCCTGCAAGACAGAGCTGTTCCACCAGGCCTTTGCTCAAGGCACAGTCTGACCCCCTCTTTTGGTAATCCTCATAGAACTCTAGCCCAATGGTTGCCATTAATTTAATTTGATTTTGAATTGATTTTAAAATGGATTTAATTTACAATGCTGTGTTGCTTTTATTGTTGTTAGACGCTCTGAGCCTGGCTTTGGCTGGTGAGGGCGGGATATAAATAAAAAAAATTATTATTATTATTATTATTATTCCCACTCTTGAGTTTGAATCCCACCCTTCCCCAAAGCCCTGTTTCTCTCTCCCTGTCTCCTGAAGTCTCCTTCGCTTCTCCCAAGGCCGCATAATTCCCCTTGCCTGTGTTTCTTCACCGCTCTTCCCCTGCCCCGCAGGATGTCCGAACCGCTGCCCCTGTCGTACGTGACCGCGCAAGAGATGCGCTGCCTCCTGCACTGGCTGTCGGGCTGGGCCCCGGCGCAACGAGAGCAGTTCCTCCGCGACCTGGTGGACAAGGCCGTGCCGTGGAAGGTGCTCCCCCTGCTGGAAGGGCTGGCAGGGCTCAGCGTGGCACCCGGGAAGCCCCCCTCCATCTTTGAGTGCCAGATGAGGCTGTGGGACCAGTGGTTCCGCAGCTGGTCGGAGGCCGAGCGGAACGAATTCGTCAGGCAGCTGGAGGAGGCCGTGCCGGATCTGGCCTCCCGGTTTTACCAAGAGGTGGCGGCGACCGCTGGGCAGGCGTAACGGGCTGAGTAGCGCCTCCCCCCACTCAAAAACATTATGCAGTGACTACTTTTACATTCCTCATGGTTGTGCCAGGTCCTCCCTCCCCCCCCCTCCAAATTTTCTCAATCTTATGTGTGACTGTCAGCTGTAGGGGAACAGAATAAACATGTATACCAAATGCAAATGGTTGGTTATCCTGAAAGGAGTTGAGCCATCTGTATTTCTCTCCTGTTTTTTGATTGTCAGGGCCTCTTTCATCTGTCACTAACCTCTCCCTACCTGCAAACAGAAATGCAAGATTGCTTTATTATTATTATTATTATTATTACTACTATTATTCAATACGTCAGTCGCTTTACCTTTCCCAGGGCAACCCAAAGTGACTTACAAACAAACAAGCAATCCCACATACAGTCATACCTCATGTCGCGTCTTTTTGCATTATGTTCTGCGGCAACCCGGAACTACCAGAACGGGTTACTTCCGGGTTTCGCCGCACGTGCAGAAGCGCTAAATCACGCCGTGTGCATGCGCAAACACTGCACTTCTGGATGCGAACGCTTCGAGTTGCGGACGTGCCTTCGGGACGGATTACGTCTGCAGCTCGAGGTTCCACTGTACATACAATAAAACCAAGCAGGGGAAGAAATGCGTTAAAAAACATCCCACCCACAGGCAGCTAAAGGCTCTTTTGGTTTGAGTAGAAATCACGTTTTGGAGAAAACAGATGAGAACATTTGATCATTTATTTTTTTTAAAAAAAATTGACACTTCCCACATAGGGCATTGATCTTTCGGGAGACGATCTTCTATTTTTCCTGTACCACAAATGTCTAAATCAGCAGCAGCGAACGTTTTTCAGGCCAAGGATTGCATTGATTGCATTGACCCATCACTACGTTTTAGGGGGAGGGGCATGGCAGAGTGGGTGTGCCCAAAAATGTAAAAATAAGTGGGCATAATGGGAGCTGCAGTTCTCAAAGCCGCCTTCATCATCTGTTCTACACTATTTTAAATGTTTTTCTCATTCATTATTGCATTCACTAGATTTTTTTAAAAAATAAAGTTTTTTATTTATACAACAAGAAAAAAGAAAAAAAACACAAATACCAAATTACACACAAATTACATAAATAACCATAGACACATAATTTTATTAGCAAACAATAAAACATCTATTGGTCTTAACACTAAAGAGCCAACCTCCCGTCTATTCCATATTTCAAATTCATATTACTTTTTGCCAATACACACTTTTATCATAATTAAACTTATTCTCAATAAATCTAATTTCTTATATCTACCTTGCAACTATTACTGAAGTTCCTCGAATGCTGCAACAGAATTTAAACTACTATATTTATTTTTCAGATAATCTTTGAAAACCTCCCATTTTGAAACAAATTCCTGTTTTGATTTATTCTTTATTTTTCTGATAAACCATCTAATTCGGCATATTCTGTCAGCTTTTGGATCCAATCTTGTATAGAGGGGATTTCATTACTCTTCCATTTTGCTGCAATCAAAACTCTTGCTGCCGCCGTCGCATATAAAAAGATACCCTTCCTCTTTTGTGGAATATCCAAATCTGTTATTCCCAGGAGGTAGGCCTCTGGTTTTTTATTTCAAAGAGATCTTTAGCATTTTTTGCAGTTCTGCATGGATACTCTCCCAGAATACCTGTATTTTCCTATATATCCACCACATATGGTAGAATGTTCCTGATTCACCGCATGTCCAACAATTACGTGACACTTTTTTATACATTTTTGAAAGTTTCCATGGTGTTAGATACCATCGATGTTGCATTTTTTGAAAGTTCTCTCTAATCATGTAACAATTTGTGAATTTCCAATTGATCTTCCATAAATTTTCCCATTGGGCCATGGTTATTGAATGGCCAAAATCCTGGGACCACCTCACCATTGCCACTGTTACCTCCTCCTCCTTGACTGTCCAGTCAAGGAGGAGTCGATAAGTTTTGGAAAGAGTTTTTCTTTTAGAATTTACAAGATCAGATTCGAATCGGGAAATTTCTGTTGAGAACCCCTTTTGTTTGTCAGATTTAAATTTTTCAAATAACTGATGATATTGGAACCAGTCTGAGATGTGTCCTCTTATTTCCTCAAAGTTTTTTAATTTTATTTGGTTATCTTCATTTTTTAGAAGTGTTTTATATGTTGGCCAGCTTTCCTGAGTATTTTTCCGTTTTACTGCTACGGCTTCTATTGGAGAAGTCCACCACGGGACTTTAGGCTCCATCAGGTCTTTATATTTTTCCCATAAAGCGAAGAGTGATTTTTTTATTATATGGTTGGTAATTTTTTAAATGAATTTTCGCTTTTCCATATATCAGGTAGGCGTGCCATCCCCAACGGTTGTCAAAACCTTGCAGGTCCAGGAGGTCCGGATCCTGCAACGTGCACCAATCTTTTAGCCAGGTGAAACAGGCTGCCTCATAGTAAAGTTTTAAATCGGGTAGATATTTTATAATGGACAACTTCATGGGAGATTGTACAAAAAACCTTGTGGATTCCCAGGAGGGAATTTTCTGGAGTCATTCTTTTTTTAAAAAAATAATAATTAAGAATATATATTTTTAAATTTAAAAATAGGGGAAATAGTGGGAAGCCTTGAGACCCACATTTTAAAAAGCTTTTGGTACCATGGCATTTCAGCAGGGAATCTTTGGAGGGGCAAATACTGTGTTTTTTAAAAAATAATAATTGAGTTGGTAGTTATGGCCTGTGGGAATTGGTCGGCCACCCTTGGTCTAAATAATATGGGCTATAATATCTGCCCTTTCTAAGCCAGTGGAGGGCATCTGTTGAAACCTTAAAATAAATAAAACACTTCTGTCTTTGTTAGCCACCTTAAGATCAGGAAGGTCACCGTGATCAAATTTAATCCTGCCCTGCCAAGAGACCAGCTTTAGGTTGGCCGACCAGGACAAAACCTCCTGGGTGCCTTTCCTTAAAAGTTTGCTTTGCTGGCAGCTGACTTAAAAATAGGAATGTGTGCTGGAGAACAATCAAGTGTCTGTATCAATGGGATTAGCCGTTTGCAGGCAAGGGAGGCCCTGTTTGTGAAATCACAGGCAAGCTGTGCCTTATGACAGAGTTCCAGCAACCTCTTAGCAGCCATAGCTTGGATATTAAGCCCGTAATTAATACAAATACCTGACAGACTGGAATGCCTGTAACGTGTCTGGCTGGGCACATCAACAGACAGAAACACACACACTCTTGCAATTATCGTTGAAATAGATTGTGACGCCCTACAAGTCACAGGAGTGGTCTGAAGGTGCCCACATTTGCGTCCATTCAGCGGCTGGAGACACACGGAAACCATCTGTAGCTCCCAGGTAGACTCAAGTTCCCTTGTGGAAGAAAGGCGGAACAGGAACGTTAACCAATAAATGGATTTCTGCCATTTGCAGTTTGCACTCAGTTTCCCCCCGTTCCAGTAAGATGCACGAGGCCAGGTCTACACTAGTGGTCAAAATTGTGGAAACCTTTTGGGAAAAGTGTCTTTCTGAGGTCTGATGGCTTGTAACACTACTTTTTTTGGAGTAATACCGTAAAATTACATATCAGGGGAAAGACAATTTCATGAAGAATGTAATGCAACAATGTTTGTTCAGTTATCTGTATTCTATCAAAAGCTATAGCCAAATAACCAGAAAAAGGAACCACAACTTGATTAGGTTGATATGCAGCAGCTTTCCTTCATTTGAATAGCCAATGAGCATTAGGGAAAGGAGAAAAAATACTATTAATATTATTTATTACATTTGTACAGTGGTACCTCGGTTTTCGAATGCCTCCGTAGTCGACCGTTCAGAACTCGGACACCGAAAACCCAGAAGTAAATGCCTCAGGTTTCGAATGCACCTTGGAAATCAAACAGGAAATGAAGCTTCCGCCTTCAGTTTTCAAACATTTCGGAACTCAAATGGACTTCCGAAACCGAGGTACCGCTGTATACGGCCCTTCATCCAAACATCCCAGGGCGGTTCGCAACAGAGAAATACAAAAGGAGAATGTTGTTGGCACCTGTCTGCCTCACCTTTGGATGGTTGCAGCTCCTGCTGTTGCTGTAGGGACCGATGCGGGAGAGACATGTTTTGTTGCATCCGGGGCAGATGAAGGCATCCGGTTGTGCTGCTGCGGATGCACCGTGGCATTTCTTCTCTCTATGCTCCTCCCAGCAAGCCATTCTTCCTCTGGTCACTGCTATGGATACAAGATCTGAATGTCTGTCTCTAGGCTCGGTGGTCCTTTGCAAGGGATTCCTACGTTCTTGGGGGTCCTGCCATCTTGCATTCTGTGGACATCACCAAGCCAGCATAGATATCGCTGAGACAGGAGTGCAAACATGCTGGGAATGTAGGCTTGGGAGAGCACACCTTTGTTAGAAATTCTGCCCTGTCCTGTAATACCCCAATTTCTCCTGACGCAACGCATGTGGAAGGTGTTGAGATGTCACTTCTAACTGTTTCTTGTAAGAAAAACTGCTCCCTTTCCCTTATGGGGTTTTCCAGAGCCCGTATAGAGTCCTTAAGTGGGTCCCCTATTGGTAGGAGAAAATAACAGGCCAACCAGAATATACTGAGAAGCAAAGCGGCTAATAAGCCTTATCTTTATTAAAGGAACTGTTGTAACAGGGTCCCCACTCACCACACGCAGGAGGGAGGAAAACCCTGAACAATGGTGTGCAAGCCCCTATATAGACTCTTGAAATTGCCCACCCTGTAGCCCAGGACCCCCCCCCCCAAAATCATAATATATCACAGATGGAGGCGGTCTTCAGCAGAAATCCTGCCTACCAGGATACCTGATAATGGTCACTGATTGCATGACCTGGGCAGCCTGGCCATTCTTTTGTGATGGTTTAGTTCCTGAATCCAGGTCACAGGCTCACCCTATTCGTACACAAATACGTCCTTAAGACAGGATTTGCAAGCAAAAAGACAATGGGAAGGCTTTCCCCATTTGCCTCCCTTACTGCGGAGGAATATTTGAGGTCACTGGGAGAGTCAAAATGGCTTCAGGATTGCTCCTCCAGACACATGGTTCATATATTTAGATATGTGTGCATTTATGAATATTCTATTTCTGAGACCTCAGAATTCTTATAACAGGTTATATGTTGCCCATGACTCACTTCCATAAATCGGCGTGCTCAACATCTTGGTACTGGACGTTTGCATCACGTTCTCCCATACTCTTTTGGAGAGGCGAGCCGTTGCCGTAGCTGACAAAATGAGATGCAAAATACATAATTAATACATAATAAAACAAAATAATACCCCCCTCCTACTTTCTATCTCTTTTCTCCGCACTGCATGATTTCAGGCACTTATCAAGGCCCCCCTTTACTTGCCATTTCTCTAAACTAAAAAGGCCCGAATGTTGCAACCTTTCCTCATTGCGAAGTTGCTCCATCTCCTTGATCTGCCTCTTGCTTTCTTGGTGTCAATAGGAGAGCCTGTCTGCTTTCGGTTTGCCCCGGCCCCAGCCCTGAGGCAAGACATCTTGTCTGCCAATCCCAAAGCCCTTGGCTGTGTTTAGGTAGGACCCGCAATAAATCATCTGAGAAGCGAGATAAGGGGGGGGGGGGACACAGCAAAGCGGTCACGTTGCAACAGCCCCAGGGCTGCTGTAAATAAGACGCTGTTGATGCAAAGCCCAGACGAACTTGTTGACTTCTCTGAGAAGACAACAAGCACTGATGCCGTAATCTTAGACTCTGAACTTCGTGGTCTTGTGGCGAGTAGGCAGATGGGCTCTAGACTAGGGTTACCAGACGTCCCCGGGGACAGTCCCCGGATTTGCAAATCTGTCCCCGGACAAATTCCGTCCTCGGAATGTCCCCATATTTGCAAATCTGTCCCCCAGAAATGTGGCAGTGGCAGCCTCAGCAGCCCGGAGCCAGCCTGGTAGCGCAGTTGGCTCTGGCTGGCTTCAGGAGCTACTCGCTGCTCTGGCGCCCGCCATTCTTCCTCGCCAGAAGTCCCCATATGATGTGTATTGCGCGCATAGGATGTGTCTTGTGCGATCTCCTGCCCCCTTCCCCCTTTGTTTTGACAGATCAGGGGAGTCGCAGGCGGGCGGCTGTTGCCCAGTTTTTAAAAACCTGTGCATTTATGTTTCACAGCGGGCAAAAGAAGGGCTTTGCACCTTTATACAATATGCATGTATGCTTGGGCCCATGGTCTTTCGCCTCACCATCCCCACTACTGCCTCCCTGTTGATACTCAGTCCCCCCCCCCAAAAAAAGTGTCCCTGGATTCATTGGAAAAAATATGGTAACCAAACTCTAGACACATGTTGCTTATTTCTCCTTACGTTTGGGGAGATCTGCCCCAAAGGCCTATCTAGAAGGCCCTCACTGATCAGAAGGGGGCAGTTTCCAACCTTTAGTTAAGGATCAGGGAGAAAGCAGCGCTTTCTAAAACAATGCGCTAACCGAATCAGCCATCCTTCAAAAATCGCACATCTCTCTTCTTCTCCCAAAGTATTTTTATTACTCGTTTTCAAGTTGCACATCTCTGTATGCTACAATTCGGTTCTCCAGTGGAGTTAATGTGCAAAAACACATTACATTAAAGGGGAAATGCTTTGCAAAAATGTGCATATTACGGTGAAGTGTACATCAAAATGCATATATTGGTGAAAATATCATGCAAGATGCATTATAGGGGGAAATTGCTTTGCAAAAATGTACATAGAGTGGAGCCCAAGCCTATGGAACTCCTTCCCACCTGAAATTAGACAGGGACACTTTTCACGTTACTGAGACTTTTTCTGTTGCAGCTGGCTTGTTTTTATGTATGTCACTTAGAAACATCAATGATCACACATACATATGTATGAAAGCGCATACAAAAATGTTCGTTAGCAGAAATTCGCACTAGAATGGTGACAAATATTCACGACGATTCCCCCACCCTTTAATTGCAAATTGTTACAACAAAGTGGAGAACTGAATTTAAGGTTGGAAAAATGAGAAACCAAGAAAACTGGAATTGACAGATCCATGAATCCCAACTGTTCCCAGGCCAGAGATTTTACCTCTTTTTTACTTACTTACACAGGCACATGTTTTCCCAGTTGCATTCAGACAGGTGTGGCCAGTAATCATTCCTTTCTTGCTGCAACATAAACACAATAAAATGCAGTGGTACCTTGGTTTAAGAGCAGCTTAGTTTATGAGCAACTTAGATTAAGAACGCTGCAAACCCGGAAGTAGGTGTTTTGGTTTGTGAACTTTGCTTTGGAATAAGAACGTTCTGCTTCTTGTCGAGTGTGTTCCATTTGTAAATTGAGTCCACCGCTGCTATGGGAAAGCACGCCTTGGTTTAAGAACGCTTTGGTTTAAGAAAGGACTTCTGGAATGGATTAAGTTCATAAACCAAGGTACCACTGTAAATAAAATCTCCTTCTGCTTAGACTCAGCCTTAGACCTTTGGCCTTCCAATTGTTCCCTGCTGAGTGAAATTCCCTTAGGTGGGGCTTACAGGAAATTTTTGAGGAGGGATGTGAGCAGGCTGACTTCTGAATTACCGTGTCTTTTTTTCCTATTTGCACTCAAGTCCCTCTCAATTGCTTCCTCTCCTGCACGCACACACTTTCCTTCGTGATGTGTGCGTCCCTCAGAATGTGTGTGTGGGTTTTTTGGTGGGTTTTTTAAAAATTTATTTATTAATTTAAAATAAATACATTTATGATAAAACAGACGGACAAACAAGTAAACAAACATACAATCAAACAAACAAATAACAGAAAAATCAAACAAACCACCACACTATAAGATACAACAAGATTAATATAACTATCATCATATATACTCCTAGAATTGAAAGCAATTACCTGTATAAAACTTATGGGGGGAATTAAAAATGACTTCCAATTAATCTCACTATACTTTGTCTATCCATTACTTTATACTGCACAGTTACATATTTCTTATATAGTTTCTTTTTACCTCCCTACGAACTTATAGTCATACAATACAGGGATCAGTCTAATTCTCCAGGATGTTTCCTTTTATACCATAGTTTTCTAAATATTCTTTAAAGATTCTCCGTGTGTGTGTGTGTTTATGCATTAATCTGGAGCGAGGAAGAACAGATTGATCATGTCGACAACAGCCGGCGACATGCCTGCTTAGCTGCCTTGCAAGCCAAGTCTTGCGGTACGTGCCTAAAGAGCAGCCCTTGAAGGCTCTAAGCACAGAAATGTAGATTTCTAGAGTTGGAAAGGATCCCAAAGGTCATCTAGCCCAACCCCCGCAATGCAGGAATCAGAGCTCCAGAATCCATGGCACGTGGCCATGTGTGTACAGTATTTATTTGAGAACAGGATGCTGGAACTAGACAGGCCTTTCTCTGAGAGCAGCTGAGGCAACTGGCAGAAATAGTAAGCCAGTCGTCCCAGATTCGATTCCATGTATCGCCAGTTGAAAGGATCCAGTAGCAGCAGAGGGAAATAAATACATTTTTTTTTTGCTTGAGGCCTTGGAGGGAGGCAAATGTCTGTCAGGAAGTCCTGTGTTAACTCCACTCGTGGCCACCAGAGGCCCTTGCAGTCCTGTGCCAAGTCTGAGGCTCAATGGCTGTTGGTTTGATGATTGCAGACCTAACATTTCACAATGTATTTTGCAGTGGTTTTCCAACAGTGTCCTGGGATCTCTGGAGACATATCAGATTCTTTTAAACATGTTTGGCCCAGGGCATTTTGCTGGCCTGAGGCAAAGGGCAAGATGGCTTCTCGCCTCCCCCCCCCCCAGCTCCGAAACCAACCCCAAATTCCACCTACAGATTGGTAACTTCCTCTTCCTTGAACTGGGGTCTCCTGCGCTGCGAGGGATCTCAGACCTTCTCTCCTCAAGGTCCACTAGAGAAGGATGGAAATTACCGAGACCCCCTTGTCACAAAATGGTTTGATATAGTCGGTTGGCAATGACTGACATCACTCTCTGCTAACACCTAATCCATCTCTGGAAATCACTAAGTCCTTTGCCACAGCGTTTTCCTTGTGGCAAGGAGTTCCACAGCTCAGCTTTTCCTCAAGACAAGGACAGAAACTACTGTATTGTCTGTTCTGGAGGCATTGTGTCTCTCAGCCTCCCCAATTTAGGCAGAATTTGC